TTTTGAGAAAACTATATTTTCTTGTTTATATCCTTTTCTGAAACTTGCTTCCATATTAAATACATGAAAAGTCAAAACAATCACCTCACTTTTGTATGTGTATCCTTTTTCCTTTTTTACCAAAAAAGAGAAGAAAAAAAAACTGTGGCATCCACAAGAACAACAGACACACACAAAGGTAGAAATGGCACGACACCAAACAAACACTGAAAGACAATTATAATTAGATAATGTTTCCCAAAAAGTAGTTGTTAAAGACAAGATGCAAGCATGTTAGAGATTAACATAAAAAAACTGGATAGGGAAGATATGAGATCTTCTTACCGCCATTTCCTCATCAGTGTCATTTCTGAATACATAAAATAGAGGTGCCAAGATTTCATTCATCCCTTGAACATATCTTATACCCGGATTTAACTTGGCAAATACGATTAATATGTTTCTCAATGCATCCTGAATATGCAAGGTACATGTAAGTCAGCAATGACTTCAATTCATATCAAAACTTAAGTCCAAAAGAGCAAAAGAATAAAAGCACATGAAGGAACAAAAGAAAGAAGATTTATACCTGATTAGACTTTGCAAGCTGTGAGTCCCCAGAGAAGAAGTGCATGTCTGGATGAGTGCGCTTCACATCTCGGTCAATCTGTTCAATGATTTCCGAGTCCTAGGAATATACCAAAAAAAAAAGTTGGAGATCAATAAAAGCTTTGTTCACTAGTTACAAGTAAGATGCTTATACTTAAAGACCTTCTCTATATTGAACTTCAAAAGAAGAGATTTCAAATAATTGGGTTCATCATCAACAACAACATTACTAAAACTCCAAGAAGGCCAAAGCAAACAAAAGGGAACACACCCTCTTTTCTCAAGGCTGCTAAATCAGGAAAATTCTAAGTACAACTTCAAACATTATTGAAAGATTTTATAAATAATTGAAAATCAAAACTCCTCTGCATTGCTGTCATGTATATGCTTGTATAAAAACCTGGAAATAATACTCAAGTTCCAGTACTCTCAACTAAGCACTGACCTGAAACCAGCTGGCCAAAAGCTGTATAAATTTTTTTTTTCCCGTCATTTCACTTTGGTTAGGGATGTTCTCAATAAGAAGTTTAGCATCCTCTTATCTTTCCTACTACAATGCTAAAAAACATTAACAACTATAAATACCAAATCCCAGCCTCTAATAATAATAGAGATAATCTAATACAAAATAGGCTTGATTATTCTTAGCAAATTAAAACTTTCATGTAAATGATAGATACTGCAATGCTAACATTCTAAAGGCTACATGGTAGTGCAAACTGCCCCTGAAATAACTAGTATTAAAGCATTTGTCTGCAGACAGCTAGTGTGACCCACATTTTAAAACTTAGACTTCAAACAGGGATGATGTTTTTCTTACTGGAATGCATGAGGATTATTTTTGCCAATTGCAAAGAATTAGGACGTCCCCTGTGCAAGACATTATTCAGTCATTCAAATATGAAACACAGTAGCATTTTTACATTAACTCGATACTCCATTGTTTTTTTCACTTTTGTGTATCTAATTGCTAGCCCTCAATCTTTTGTCAAATAAGCACTAGATGTCAGGCTCTGATGAAAATAAATGAACTAATTTCATGAGAAGTGACTCAGCCAAGTTTATACAATCTAAATTTAAAGCATTCAACAGATAAAACACATAAGATGAAGTATGGCTTTCAAAAACTGATTATCAAATGACCCTAACAAGATACCTGGAAGAATTGATTCCAGATGCTGCTCTTCCCGAGGCTCAAAGGATGCTCTCCATGAGTTATTTGTGATCTTGACAGCAGACCACTGCTTTCAGATTTTGACTCATCATTGTCACAACCCGCCGACTTCTCCAACCTCCTTGTGATTTCTGACTGACTAGCCACAGAAACATTCAGAAATCCAGAACTCTTACAGAAAAGGAAGAGAAGAAAGAGAGCAGCCACACAAGATAACACTACTTTTTGGACTGATAATCCAAAAAATGGAGAAATTAAAAAAGGAAAAACTCAAGCAAAGTCATTTTATTGTTAGGAGGGAAAAAATGAACTATGAAATGAAAGAAATTGCAACTGCACAGTCACCAAGAGAGGATTAAATTTCAATTTCTCACATATTAAAATAGTCAGTTCCATGTTCTAGCTATCTGCCAGCCTCAGTTTGTTTCAGTTCTTATCCACTTAATACTTTAAAAACGCTGTTAAAGTTTTACATTAGCATTAATCAAAGAAACTAATCATATTTATTTGAACAGATTGTATACAGTCATAGTAGTGTACATAGTCCGTACACTATATTATCATGCAAAAGTTAAAGAAAATCACTTACAGGATTCATCAAGAGCTCTTCCTTAAAATGCTTGTACTGAGACCTTTTCTTAGCTAATTCAGACGACCATTGCCCACGATCAGGTGGTAAGTAACCTAACAACAACTGCCACAACAACCAAACAACCCCTATCTTATTAATCCAGAAAAAAACACCAAATTTGAAATGCATCCCAGCTAAAAATTCCACATTTTTCAATTTTCTCAGCAACCAAACAAAAAAAAAAAGAAAAAAAAAACAAATCCTACCTTCCAGACAGTAGACCTGATTCCTGCACCATCAGGAATCCCCTGCGACGCAATCCTCCGCAATTCCCGCATATTTACCACCTTCTTTGACAACTACCAGAACAAAAAGGGAAAAATTAAAAATAAAAAAGAAGAAGAAGAAGAAAAGAAAATCAGTTAAAAATATGGAGAATCAGTAACAAACCTCGACCAAGAGCTGAGCCTGGCGAGAGATATCTTCAGGAGAAACGTCGGAAGAGCTGCCGTTTTCATCACTATCATTGCTATTATTGTTACTATTATCATTAACTGGATCTCTGATTTCGGATTTTGGAGGAGTAGGAGAGGACTGAGGTCTTGAGGCTGCCGCGGGAGGAGGCACTGGAACCGGAGGCTGAACAGCTGGCTCGGAAACGGCGGCGGTGGGAGAAGGGGAGTAGCGGTGGAAACGATCGTCACTGGGAGTTGTGGACCAGAGCGAACTGTTAAGCCAATCAGGTACTCGTTTCCTCACCATTTCAAGATTGGAATCGAGATTTGCTCTCTATTTCTAAAAATAAATTTGTGAATTTGTAAAAGCAGGTCGTGCAATTTGTTGTGAAAATTGGGAGTTTAAAGTCTGAGAATTTTTGAGGGACTGATTTCGGAGTTGAAGATGTGAGTTTTTACCTCTTTTTTTTTATTTCCTTTTTTCTTCTCTTTCTCCTCTTCCCTTCGTGGAGAGAGAGGAGGCGAAATCAGAGATGGAGTGACAGCCCGATGCTATAGAGGTGTCAAGGACCAATGAAGAACTGACAAATATCTGACTTATATTAATAGTATTAAAAAAATAATTTTTTGAAAAACAATTATAATTATTAAAAAAATCAAAATAATTAAGATTTTTTTATTTTTATTTTGAATTAAATAAATTTATATAATAGATTGTTGATTAGTTATTATTAATTAAAATATCATTTATCATTTTATTTTAATGATGCTAATATATTAAAATAAATGATAACGTGACAAGTTAATGTGATATCATGATATAATCATATAATATTTTTTTTTCTCATGTTAATCATATTAACATTGCATGAATATAAAATAACAAATTTTATTTTGATTAACAATAATTAATCAATTAAATATAAAGACTTCTATAATCTAAAATAAAATAAATGAATTAAAATGTCATAAAAAGTTAAAATTTATCTAAATTTTTTAAAATATTTCATAGGGTGTTTAAACCATAATGATTATTAAGAAAAAAAAGAAAACATTTTCCTTTTATTAGTTGTAACTTTCACATTCAAATTTATATCAACATATCCAAAACAAAAAATTTATATCAAACATGATGCCACATTAATTACTTCCTATCTGAAATTAATTAATGAGTTGATCCATGACATCAGAGATCCAATCCAATTTCAAAGCACTCACTGTATTTACTTTATTGCCAAATGGGAAATAGTTAAAAATGTCATCAAATTACCACACAAAGTTTCCTTGTTATGGGCATAAAATATTTCATTTATTGATATTGATATGTTTGGAGATGAACAGCAATTATAGGAGGTTATCCAGTTTAAGAAATTCTTGAAAGTTTTGGAATTTAATTCATATTAATTTCTGTACTAACTCTTTCAATGAGACTAAAACTATTACAACAAAGAGTCAATTTACCTTTAAATTATTCAAATTTGACTAGCTTATTATCAAACTTAACACAGTTTAAATGGATGAGTAACGAATTCAATCGAGTTTAGATATTTTAAATATTATGATTTAAAATTTTATTTGAATTTATATTTTTTTTACATATTTAATATCTGTCTATATATAAATATATATATATATTACTTATATAATTATTCACTTTTTTTTATTTGAAAATTAATTAAATTTTAATTCGAATAAATGGCAATCGACTCAAATCATTCTTTTTTTTATTTTAAAATTAATTAAATTTTAATTTCAATGTGTGATAATCTACTCAAAACAAGTTTAATAAATGATAATTGATTTGATAATTGGTGGAGAAAGGTCTTACACCTTTTATTACCAATTCACGTTTTTAACTCAAAAAAAATATTAAATAGTTGAAAAAAAATTCATATTTATATAATTAAGATTCATTTTATATTTTATTGATGCAAAATCCATCGACATCTAACTTAAACTTCTCGCAATTGAGTCGAGTTGGATTTGAAGGAGGCTGATTAGTATACCCTAGACAAGCCCCTTGGTTGCCACAAATATTACAGCTAGGCAGATACCTTTGACGTCCAAGCGGTAAGAAAAATCCAATAACAAAGAGTTCACAACAAGCAACAGCAAGACATCCAATCCTCAACATTAGCTGTTGCTTTTGAAATTATCAGGCTGGTCATGTTTGCTGCCACACAGGCACAGAAACATTGGGCCCATGATCCTTTCGGATTGTGGTTTTTGATAATGCAACCTTTTTAGTCATCAGATTCTATATTATTACATTGTTTAAGGGAGAAGGTGGGGCATTCTTGAATGGATATGCATCCAAAGTTTCAATGTGAAAATCTATGTTCTTTTGTTTGGGTTTTTGGGGCCTTTGATGATGCACAAGATTGTATTCATTGGTTTGGACTTTGGTTCTGCTCTAGTTCCATATGAATGATTCCCATCAGCTTCAGTGAGATTCCTACAATCTTGTTGGTCTGGAATATAGTTGAAAAAAGTCCATTTTTCATGCTGTAATGCTCTGGTAAACTGACAGGATTGGGATCATCAAACCTAACATATGTATTTTTTGTTAGATTAGAACCTGCTGCACAGATAATAGTTTCTCATAATTTAGCAACAAAAGCACAGAACTAAAATTGCTGTATTGGGAATTCCACTGAACCAATTTTTGTAAATTTCTAGAAACTGGCACTTGATGCATGCAAATAGCCCAATAAATGAATTTAGAATAAAAGAACAACAAAATCAGCTTACAAATTATACCGTTGTTTCACTTTTGGTAAGCAGTCTTTCACAAGCTTCCTTATTTCATTTCTAACCCTTAAAATGTTGTTTCCGATTTCTGTGTGCTTTAACCCCTTGGAAACTTAAGAGGATTGTCTTACTTAACCTACCAAACAGGTTTGCCTGAATTTCACCATAGCAAAGATGTGACATGATCCAAGGCTCATTGGTAGGGGAAGTTACTGATGGTTAAGTTGCAACAGTACTTCCTTCCACAAGGCATATTAGAGGATGGGGTCACCTGCAAATGAGAAATGATACAATTAATGTTAGCCATTAAACAGATTCTAATATGCACCAAACATCCATTAGTACCTATTAGAAGGACTGTGTTATCTTCAGAATTGGTGTCATCTATTCTCAAGAACAGATTAAGAAGAGCATTTAACCCAAAATCTCCCCCTATCCTTCACTTAAAAGATTAGGGACCAATCTAGATAGATGACTTTTTTATCTGAGTAGAGTTAGATTTACGATATACCCCAGTTTACATTCACAGTTGTGGAATCAGACATATAATTGGTGTGTGTTTGGCCAAGCATGTTTTGGTGGGCCACTCATGGTTGAACCTTGTCAATGTTTAAACCTTTTGGAGGACCTTTTATAACATGAGATAACCTGTCCTTCCGAATTCAAGCCTTAATTCTTGAATCTTGCTCACATACAATTTGAGTCATTCTGAAGTACCTGCATTGTAGAAGGTCGATCTCAAGCTTAGAAGTAAGATTATGCCTTCACCTATGGTGCATTATGTCATGGATGTGAGGTTGAAGATTCAAAATGAATATGCTGTCTAGTTTAGATCATAAAAGAAACAGGAACACAATAAATTGAAGAAAGCTACCATATTGAAGCAAAGGCGTTGATGGTATGCAGAAGGACTCTAATTTCAACCATTTAGGTAAAGTGGAAAAACAAAAGTTATGCAATCAACAAGATATTGGGGAATACAGTGACCTAAACACTTCAGAAGCTAAAACAGAGGAAGATGAAACCTGAAAACAGTATCAATCTGGAGAAATGGATATACTTTGTACTGTTTCCATGAAATAAGCTGAGCACGAAACATCCAGCCATTCATGTAATGAAATGTGCGAAGTTCTAAAGGTTCATTAATCTTGCTGTTAGGTTTAGACTTTAAACAAGCAGAAGAAACACCTTTTGGACCTTGAGGAATGGAAGATACCAGTCTAGAGAACCATTAACCCAACACCTATGTGTCATAAAGTACTAAGTTGGCATCAGCTCAACTGCATGCATGCTCCTAAACTAGTTTTTTAGTTGTGATGTACTTAGCGACATCCAGCATTTGCATAAAGAGTTTATTCTAAACAAACCAAGTAGAAAAAATGATGTGTTATTGAGAGCAAAGCAGATATAATGCTACTGGCACTTACCATTTCACCAATAATCTCCACATGAGCAGGCCCCATCCTTGAAATGATGGAATCGCTTTATATCTCTCAATACTATCTCTCTTTGGCTCATCTTACTAGCATATTTCATCAGAGAATGGCAATCCCCACATACTCTTAAGTTCTTTACTATCCTGATGGTTGTTCCCGGAGAAGTGCGGATTAAAGCAAAAGCAAGCGCCAGTTTCTCACTGTGACTTCCCAATGCATCTTCCTTCTCTTCTTCCTCAATGTTATGAAGTACCCACCCAGTTTCAGGCATGTATCCATGTTGTCTTGTACCAGCCACTATTTCCTCTAATTTCAGGTATATCTCTCTTGCATGCTTATGAGCATGATCACCAGCTACAAAACTATGCACTTCTCCGCCAACTTCAATATAACTCCACCCTGGATCTTTATCGACGGCTCGGTTCTGCATTAACATTCTGACTCTCTCCACATCTTCCCACCTCCCAACTGCAGCATAAACATTTGACAAGAAAACATAGCTCCCAGGATGCTTAGGTTCAAGCTCAAGGAGCTTCTGTGCAACTAGTTCTGCCATTTTAATATTTTTGTGAGCCCTACAAGCACAAAAAAGTGCTCCCCATGTCACAAAATCAGGACTCATTGGCATCCTTTGGATGAACTTTAGCGATTCATCCAGCCGGCCTGCCCTGCCTAACAAGTCAACAACCAATGTATAATGTTTCATGGTTGGCGCAATAGAATAGTCAAGCCTCATACTGTCAAAGAAGTTAAGCCCAAGATTTACTAGCCCAGAATGTGAGCATACAGTCAGGAGGGCAAGAAAGACCACACCATCAGGTTTTATTCCTGCAAACGTGGCAAGTTTGAGTTTATTCAGAGAGATTAGAATAAAGAATTGAGCTTGATAAAAATTACAAAGTCACACCTGAAAACATCATCGTTTTGAAGCATTGGATAGCTTGATCATAATATCCATGGATTCCCCAACCCCATATCATGACACTCCAGGTAAGAATGTCCCTCTCTTTTGTCTCATTAAAAACCTTACTTGCGGACTGGATGTCCCCACACTTTGCATACATATCAACCAAAGCAGCCCCAATTGCTTTATTCAACCGAAAACCATTTTCCAAAACATAAGCATGGATACGCGCTCCAGCTTCAAGTGCACCAATTTTAGCACAAGCAGAAAGAGCAGGAACAAGAGTAAGATCATTGGGCCTCAAGGCAGCCTCCAACATCTTAAAAAACATGGATAAAGCCTTCTCATGATCTCCATTCTGCAAAAACCCATTAACCATTGTAGTCCAAGAAACCACATCCTTCTCCTTCATTTCATCAAAAAGCTCCACTGCTTTATCCAAATCCCCATTTCTCATAAACCCATTTATCAAACTATTCCAAGACCCAATATTCCTTTCAGGCATAGCCTCAAAAAGCTCCATCGCTTTCCCCAAATTCCCCTCTTTACAGTAACCATTAATTAACACATTCCACAACAATATACTCCCACTCTTGTTTCTATCAGGACTTTCATCAAACACCTGCAACGCGAAACCCAATTCCTTGAGTTTCACATACATTTCAACTAGTGCAACGCGAACGAATGAATCAAACTCAACCCCAGATTTGATTATTCTTCCATGAAGGATCAAACCAAGGCAGCGAAGACCCAAACCGGCGATGGATTTGAGCACGAAAGGGTATGTAAGTTTATCAGGGCGGACTCTAAGGCTCAACATGAGAAGAAAATGGGAAATTGAGGATTGGTGAAGGGAATTGTCCGTTAAGCCACGGATCAAGGCGTTGAAAAGGAATATGCTTTTGTGGTGGAAATGGTTGAAAAGGGAGATGGCATAAGGGATGGATTTGAGGGAAGAAGAGGCGGATATTAGGAGGATAGTAAGGTTGGTGCTGGAAGAGAGGTTGCGGCGGAAGATTTGGGCGTGGATTTGGCGGAGTTGGAGGGTGGTTTTGGAGGATTGGATGAGAGAGGCGAAATGGGTTTTGAGGGGATCTTGAGATGAAGATGATGATGAGCCATGAGAGATGGGAGGTTTTGCCTTTGGCTTCTTGAATGAGGAGGAGGAAGAATTGGTTTTGGCGGGAGAAGAGTTTCGTTCAAAGAGAAGCCGAAGACTTTTCATTTCAAGTGTTGTCCATAGGCTAGGGGCTTGGTGGGCTTATGACTATATCAGTTTCGAAAGTAGTGCCATGGGTAAGAACTAACTGCCATTCTATCCTTTACATAGGAATGAGTTTCAAGTTTCCCAGGGAGAGGACCTTAAAGCTTGTGGAGACATATGAGTACCGTTGGCCTATACTCTAAAAGTTGTGTTGGAAGGTTTGTAGGGTTTTCCAGTTTGATGGTGTACCAACCCATTTTCCCACCATCTCTCACTAGGTATTTGTAGGCTGATTTATGTTGAATTCTTCATTGATCAACTTCAAAAGCTTCAGGGAAAACATAGACGTCTATTTCCCTTACCCATTTCTCCCCTGTGAGAAGATTAAAAGTTAAAAAAAAATTATTGCAAGCATGTAAGGCAATTATTGAGGTTTCGTAACCATTAACGAAAGCCTGCTGCTTGAAGTTACGACTTATGAGTGGAGAAATCTCAGTTTGTCCACGGTTGAATTCATTGATAACAACATATCTCACGAAAAACCAAGGAAAAAAAGAAACAAGAAAACAACTAAATGTAGCCTAAAAAGCTATAAATGTGTGACTTGTTGTCTTCTTTTTCCGAGTGAAAAAAACATTTTACAGTTTATGAATCTATTTTGACTTAAAGTACCCCAAAAAAGGGATTATTTATGGCAGAGTTCAGCTCGGACCCAGCTGAGTTCAGCACTTGCATGTCAACCTTGTCCCTTGATAGAAACAGGAACTGATCTCCTTCCACTTTCTCAAACCCACAGATCGCGAAGAACTCAACACCACCTTTTAAGGAGCCAACTCTATCCTGTTAATACAGCAGAATCAAATAACAAAGACCAGAATCACAATTAGTTAACACATAATCATTAGATGTGAGCATTTAAATTTAAACTGTACAGAAGTTAATTGCAAGGGATTCAGAAAATAAGCGACCAGACAAGGAGGACAGCCTCATTAGAATACCAAGATAACTAGGAACATAACAGAGGAGGGACAGACGGAGAGAGGGGGAGAGAGCAAGAAAACAATCACACTTCAGGCATATAATACTTAGTTTCAACAAAGTTTAAATATATATGAATAATCATGCATATACTTGATTTCGATGTTATAATTTATATATCAAAGAAATAGTAGGTTCAATTTGTTACCTGGAAAGTTTGATTATTCAGTCTAATTTTTCTAAATTTCTCCTCATCAGGATTCCTGGCCACATTTCCTACATATGTAAGAAGAGTCTGGAATGCTCTCTTCACTTTGGCATCATCATCCTGGTAAAAAAAAGGGAAGCAAATGTTAGGCCAAGACAATAATCTCCTCAAAGGTGCTATAACCTTTTGACTTAAGTGACATAATTTTATGGCATTGAAAGAAACAAAAAAGAACCCTGGAATTGATGTTGCATATAGGAGGGACGTGATACTTCCACAGGGTAGTATCAGTAATACTTTATGAACTGTTTACAACCCAATATTATCTACCTCAACTTAGACCTATATAAAATGACAACAACATACATTGATATTGAGTTGATGTACAAACTACACCGTCCTGGATTGAAACCTCCATCAATAAAAGTAAAGAAGAAGGCTATGCTCAGTGGGAATAAAGAGTGGAACAATGGGAGATTGTCTCATCCAATGGCTAGCCTGCAATAAAAAAAAGACGGTGCTGCAGCCTAACTATTTGAGCAAAAAGGTTTCTTTCCTTCTACCTTTTATTTCTACCCAAAGTTATGTTATGCTGAAAGCGTTGACCAAATGAACCATTATTCCAGCTTATGACCATGCTCTTTGATGGAAGGTGACTTGTGCTTGTTTGGAGATCAAGGCTACATTGAGTAGAGATCTCTTTACAATGTAGAACATTATGAATGGAAGATTTTCCCTTCTTTCTTGAAAATATCCTACATCCACTATATACACTTCTACTTGAAGGTTTTCCACATTAGGAGCCACCATACTATTCTACAAGCAGCCCAAACAACATTAAAGCAATATATGTACAAACACTGCATGACACCAGGGACAAGTGCTAGAAAGTCATCAATCTAAAAGAGAGCATTGATAATAATTGGATTTTCTTAGATGTCAATAATGAATGATCAAGATTAAAAATTTTTTTTACCTTGTGATTTTGCTTGAGAGATCGCAAACACTCTCGCATTAGCTCTGACTTTGTGGCAGGCCTAACTGGCAATGAGCTCTGCAAGACAGAAACAAGGAGTTGTACAATTGAATAACACTTAAACAAAGAGACATCCTCAAGAACACTTTCAACAAAATCTTACATTACAGCAGAGGGTACATAGTTATTTGCTCAATAGTGGGTACATAGTAATTCAGAATGCAATTACCTTTTTCTCCTCCACAACAGGTGCAGAAGGTTTCACAGCAGCAGGATCTTCTGGTGGCAGCCCAAGCCTCCGCCTTCTCTCTGCCTGTGAGACATATATAAATTTGTTTACCAGACCACAATAAGGGAATCAAGTAACAATTAACAGCCTCTTCTAAACAACATGTAGTAACTATGGGACAAGTTTATGTAAACATAGTAACATAGTGTTTTTTACATTGCTCCTGTGAGCTGCTAAATGTGATCAAGTTATTAATAGTGTTGGACACTTGATCAATAGTGTTGGACAAAAAGGAAACATGGAAAGCAATAATTAGAACCTTGTCCTCTTCCAATTTCTGACGAATCTTTTCCCTAGCTCTTTTCTCTTCCTCTTTCTCTGCTTTCCGCAGGGCCAACAATCTGAGAAAGCAAAAAATGAACAAAAAATCAAAAGCCATCTAATCAAAATTAAATTAAATCATTGCAAAGAAAAGAAAAAGAAAGTGAAAAATATAGACTAGAAGACTAACCGTTTTCTCTCATTTTCTTCTTCGATATGCTTTGCTTCCAACAATTCCTTGCCCACTCGAATCCTCTCCTGAAACAATAGAGAATTTTGTCACTGACATATGGAAAATGCTTTATGAGGCTAGAATAATCATACAAAGGGCTTCAAGAAAAGGGGAGAGAAAGAGAGAGAGAGAGAGAGAAGCAAATCTAGCACACAAGAGACTCAAAAAGCAGGTAAGAAGAAACATACAAGTTAGCAATAAAACAAATGTAATAAAATAAAAAATGATAGCCAAGAAAATAGTGCAGTCAGTCGATGCAAATTTTGGGAAACTTGTGAAGAAAATAATATAATAATACAGAATAAAATTCTCCTAAAAGCATAAATAATTGAATTCTTTCAAACAGAGAAAAATGGACTATGATGGAAACCACTCACACATAAATGAGAGAAACAGAGGGGGATTCTTTCTCAAAAAATTGTTCTTCTGTTATTCTCAAAGATATTATCTGATAACTAAAAGAAAATTTTTTAATCGGATAAGATGAGTAACGTTTTATGGGACTGATTGTTGGAAAACAAATTACCAAAATTTGATCACATAAACAGAGCATGACTGAGATTCAAATACTACAATATATGTGTGGGCACAAAAGATGAACAAGATTATGAATGACTGCATAAGAGAAAAGGTAAAGGTTGCACCCATTGAAGACAAATCACAGAAGCACATTTAGGGTGGGTTAGACACAAAAAAGAGACCTACAAATGCCTCCATGCAAAATGTGATTTGATGGAGAATACCTACGGGAACAGGGTGAAAGGAAGACCAAAGAAATGAATGAAACCATAGAAAAAAACCCCTCACTCTTTACACAAGTGTACCAAGGAAATGGTATTAAATAAAGCAGAACAGAGCAATGTCATCCATATAACTACTCCTATGTGGTGGGAAAGGCTTAGTTTACCATGATATTTGTTAGTCCGTGCCCATCTTCTAATTCAGAAGAATAAATGCTGCTTAAGTAAGCCGAGTGAACATTTCTATCAACAGGACAATCCCAGGAAAACAATATTTGACCAATTCCAGAATCATAATATAAGGAGTCGACAGATATTAGAGTGATAGTATTTTTCTAAACTGTGAACCAATAGGAAGTTATGGGAAAAAAGAGTATACTGCATCTATGACACAAAACTATCCCAATATGCATTAATGTATTTCTGAATATAAAATTTTTTAAAAGAAATATTTATATATTTCTATGGCTCTCCAGTACATTTTACAGGTATAACTAAAATTATCACTGCTTCTGAGCAAAATGAGACATGCTTCTAAAAAGGGACTAATCAATTGTTCACACAGTGCACAAACATAATAAGTGCTTGTTGGAACAGGAAACAGCTTAAGAAACAATGTATAGAACTATAAATACATTCAACACAGCTATTAGACTGCAGATTAATAAAACATGAGAATAAGAAGCACCTTTTCCCTTTCTCTTTCCGTTCTCTTCTCCTCTTCTTCTTTCTTTTTGCGAGCACGCTCCCTATTATTTACAAGAATGATAAATATGAAGCAGGAGAACAATGTTCCACAGACAGACAACTCTACAATCACACCTTTAAATATATCTGAAATATCTCAGTCCTTCAATTAAAGACATACAGAACTTTCAAACTTTTCACAACATAAAAGGAAAAAGAGATCAGACACCTAAATTCTGCAGCTTAGGAGAATACTCAAGGTTTATACCAACGTGATGAATAGAATGTAGGAAAAAGCACTGACGGAAGCTTTCATCACCATCGACTGGACCATGCATTCTATTTTCTGATACTGAAGAATGAAACTTTGTAAACCATACCTTAGCTCTTGCGCTTTGAGCTTCATCTCTTCAGGTGTAAGAGAAGGTTTAGGTGCCTCAACATGGCTGTTGACAGGTACCTGATAAAACAAACGCAGGTGAGAAATCAACATAAGTGCAAGGGAATATAAATCTACATAAGTGCAAGGAAATGTCTTATCCAAATAGGGATGATGATAGTTATGTTTTTCGGTGATACCAAACCCACCCTACCCTAATTAGACCTGTTATCAATACTTATGAGATTTGGGATGGGTGCAGGTTTTAGATACAAACCCCACGCTACCTATAGGGCTCAAAGATTTCATACCATGGGCATCTGATCTATGTCTGGGTCAGCCTCATGTTCAACTACCCAGTTCACAGCAGCCTCAAGGCTATTATTACCTGCAGAAGAGAAACCCAACATTTACACAACAACAAAGATGTCATAAGCTCACAACTTTATTTGTACAGCGTGAAACTTGAGATGAAAGCATTGTTATTCTCTTATTTGTGCTTGTAGTATCAAAATCAAGAATGCTCATCACAAAAGATCTTTAGTCGCCCTTATTGGTACAAGAGATTTTGTAACAGAATACTGAAAAAATTCACTTTCATTTTTGAAATTTGAAAACAATTCACTTTTTTTAGACTATTCTTATACAAAGAAAACATGTTGGGTTACAGAGTTAAAACATTTTAACATGGTTCTGACATCGAGCAAACACAGTAACAGATGGCTAAATTTACATTCCAACACAAAAAGTAAATATTCACAACCTGGCAGGAAAGCGAGAAACGAAATATGTAATCTGTAGCACTTTAAGAACATTAAATGGGCTTACCAGAAAAATGGAGTGCACGGGTTGCACGTGCTGTAGGGAAACCCATTGCTTCCAGTTCTTCAAGCAGTTTTTTGTCAACTTCCGGCACAACCATCTCTATCAAAACACAAGAAAAATAAAACAATTAATCATCAAGATAATACATACATACATACATACATATATATATATCTGTATGTATATACTGTAAAAGAGCAAAGTATGTCCAGTCAGCGGTGAGTTATGAGAAGGTAATACCTTCATAAGGAAAAAAAAAAAACCATCTACAACCATGACTTATTCCGGATTAAATAAGAAAATAACACAAAACAACTGCTCCCTAACATTCTAAATAAACTCCAATTGCAAATTTACCTTCAGACTGGCGGCTGCTATCTGCAGCAACAGCCTCCTCTGAGTCTGTAGCTACCTTGGGTACCTCCAAACTGATTGGTTTTGCCGCCTCTAAAGTCTTATCCACAAACTCGGTATGCCCTGTTCTTTTCGTATGCAAATCACTTTCCTTCAAGATGAAACAGAAGCAGAGCTCCACCAATCATAAAATGCATATTCAAATGCACATTTTTATTTGTCGGAAAAGTAGTCTGACGGAGTTGTAATCCATTTGAGATTTTGTTTTCAAAACATAAATTTGACCTTAAAAGATTAACATGTATACTTATACTTAAATCCAGTTCATGCAAAATCAATTTTTCAAGTTTGTAAACAAATAGATGCACACGCACTATACAACGATGGCAGCTTCCACACATGAAAAGCCCCAAACATTTACCAGAGCCTTTAATCTAAATATCCACATTCTAATGATAAATCTTCAACTTTTCCGTAATCCAACAAAGGCCAAGTCCTTAAGGACCCAATTCGATGCAAAAGCAAAGCTTTCAAACTAACCCAATTCAGCACAAAAGCACAACTTTTAAATCAAATTAATCCAGCACAAAAGCAAGACTTTCAATTTACAGCCAATTCAATTAAAAAGTAAAACTTTCAATTTAAACCCAATTCAATGCAAAAGCAAAAGTTTCAATTCCAACTCAATTCAGTAGAAAAGCAACACTTTCAAATTAAACCCGATTCAATGCAAAAGCAAAAGTTTTAATTTCAACTCAATTCGGTAGAAAAGCGACGCTTTCAAATTAAACCCAATTCAAGAAGAAGAAAAACTTTCCAATCAAGCCCAATTCAAAACAAAATCAACATTTTCAATTTAAACCCAATTCAGTAAAATAAAAATGAAAATTAGACTTAGAAATGAAACCCAAATGAGAGAAAAGTGAGAGCGATGTTATACTGTTTTGGATCGGCATGGTTTGCCACAAGCAGAGCAAACAAGATTGAGAACTGCTTCAGTGGACTCAGAGAAGTTGGAATGGGAGGTGAGCTCCGCATGCTCTTGGGCTTCCTCCACTGATTTCAACAGTGCCCCACAATCCCCACACTTCAACGACAACCCCGCCATTGATGGATTGATTGATCGAAGCTCTTCAGATTCTTGACTCTTCTCTACATCTACAGACGGAAATAAAAAAGAAAAAGAACAAAGGACGAAGTATTCTTTTGGGTTTTTTATAGTGTTGGGGTCCTTTTGTTGCCTTGCTGGTGAGGGAAGGTGAAAGAAACTTATTTGAGGATGTGTTTGGCGAGGCAGATAATCTGGATCTTAGTTGAGATAAGATTGTTTATGCACCGACTGAGGAGATTTTATTCATTAATTTGTTTAGATACCATATACAATATCAATTACTATTTCATAAATCTTAGATAATAAATTTTAGTAAATATAATTGAGTTTTGTGAATTAAAAATATGCTAATAATTAATGAAATATGTCAAGACAAATTAGTGCTACTTTTCAGTTAAGCATGTCCTATAATTATTGTACACATATATTAAATTACTTATTACATAGTATCATGACAGTACAAAGACTAGATGAAGTATAATATTTGCAAGAAATGATCTAAGTTTCAAAATTTTTAATTATTTTAATATATAATTAATAGATATAATATTTTAAAATTTTAAATTTAGTAAAAAAACTAAATAATTTTTTTATTTGAGTCAAATTTTTATAATTTTATTTTAAATCAAATAAATTATTATAATTAATATTTACTAATTATTATTAGTCAAAATATCATTTATCATTTGATGTCATAAAATACTAACATGTCATTTTGACATACCACAATAAATAAAAAAATAACATATTAGTGTAACATGATAACTTAATTTTTAGTATTTTTACTTTTCATGTTAATCACATGAGTATAAAGATGATAAGTGATAATTTTATTAACAACAATTTATTACCCATTAATTATAAAAATTTATTTAATCTAAAATAAAAATATACAAATTTGATTGAATGTAATAAAAAATATAAATTTTTTCAAGTATTGTATAGACTTGGAAATGACAAGTATTATGCAGATAATTGTGAATATATTTTAAATCATACTATTTTTTAATATATATACTTTTAATTTGTAATATTTGGTTAATTGTTAATTTTAAAAGAAATCTGTAATATTTTTAAAGGTAAAATACATTAATCCTTTGATCATAATTATAATGTGAATTCATTAAGTTTTTAAAATAAATAATTTATTTTAAAAGAATATTTTTATTAGACCCATAAATCTTATCTATTAATATTTCTGTTAATTTTATGATATAATAATATTTTTAAAATAATTTTATTTTTTTAATTATAAAAATCATTATTATAAAAATTATAATTTTTTATTTTAAAATTTTTTCTCTTTTAAAAAAGTTTCTTTCCATCCAATCACCTACGACTACTGACACTCTCTTTGGGAGCTTGGTCTAATGCTCACTTAAAAGAGCTTCATTTGAAACTCTTAAAAGGAGTTCAAGTAGGGATGATTGACCTGTGTAAAGAAAAAAAAATAAAAAAAATAAGAAAAGTATTTAGATATTAATTATATTTACATATTTAAAATGAAATATTTATTTTAAAAATGAATAAATTCATGTATAATTATGATAAAAAGTTAAATAATTAGGGTATTTAACACAATTTTTAAAGTTGTATTCCACCTCAAATTACATGCTGCTTTTTGTTATTTACTTTTTTTTAAATACTATATGCATTTGACAGTCACAAAATGACATGAATAGCCTCAGCAAAAGTCCCCTTTACCGCCACTTGTCCCTCCACGTCAAACCATTGACCTTCCCTAAACAAACAATCCCCAAAATTTTATTTTCTTCTTCTCCCCCTGCATTTTCCCGAGAAAATTATCCCTTTGCAAACAAAATTTCCCAAGAAATGATACGATCGGCGTGAAAAAACAAAAAAGCTCCAATCGGGCGAGGCCCAGGACGATGAGGTCGACCTATGACCTTTTCTCAAACTTACAAAATCGAAACCTTTCGTTTTTCAATTCTTCATGGAAAATCAAGAACAACAAGACCGAAGCACAACCCTAATTACGGACCCGAAGCAAATCAATGCAGCAGAAGGAAATGCGAAAGTAATTGAATGGGAAGATTTCGAGCATGAGCTCGCTAGATTCTGGAGTTTAACTTCTGCCCTTAAAGAAGCTAATGAGAAGAAGCAAAGTCTTCAAGAAAAGCTCCAGTCTTTTATTCAGGTTAGGCTTTTTCTGATTAAAATATAGTTAAAAAAGAACTTTCTTTATTTGGAAAATTATGGTGCTTTAGCATTTCGGTTTTGGGTTTTTTGTTTAAAACATGAATTTAATGAGAGAAAAAGGGGTTTCGATGGGCAAGGAAATTTGGGTTTTGTCTGGTGGTTGGCTGGTAGTGGCTTGAGTGATGATAAAAGGGCATGGCTGAATTTTAGAGTTTTGGAGTAGTAATTCAATTTTTATGTTAATTTTTTCTGATTTAGAAAATAAGGAAAAGGAAATAGAAGAGCAGAAATAAAATTTCTAAAATAGTGGGATCAACTATTGAAAGAAACGTTTAGGGCTTTTCTGAATTCTAGATGTAGTAATGTTCTGTAAATTTTCTAAGGAGTTGTGGGAGAGGAAGGAATCATAATATGCAATAAATTTTAGTTTTATGCTCAATGTTGTTGATTTTGAAAGATAGTTGGACGATGTTATAGTTTTTCAGTATGCATAATATTTTTCCATTAAACAGAAGCTCAAATCGCTGTGCTGTAGATTTTCGAATTTTTATAAGCTGTGTTTGATAGCTGCTAGGCATGAGAAGGAAGAAAATAGATTTCTGATGTCTGCACTTAAATTGTGAACTAGGTTGGGCAGTGTGGGTTCTGGAATTCGTGAAGCCAGTCATTTTAGTTTGGATTATTATGAATTCTGTCGCGTTGCTCAAACTGCTTCATTAAGAAGATGAGAAGAAGAACTATAAGTTAAACTTTGGTGGAGAAAGGGAGATGAGAATTGTCTTGGTGAATGGAACATTTTTCTTAACAGAATCTTAAATATTCAATCTGAGTACATATTTATTTTTGGTACCGAAATAATGATGTTGATTCACTTCAGATCCTTTATACTTTCTATTTTCTCCTCAAAATGGTAAGGCCAACTAAGTACATTTTACTTATGTCCTGATTTTTGAAAATGAGAATATCCAGTTCTTTTCTACTGTGTCAAAAAGTTGAAATGGAAGTGTTATCATTTATTTGGCTGGATGCCTTTGTTTAATTGGATCAAAGCCCTTTTATTTCGGGATTTATTACCATTTGTACCCGATATATTTGTTGTTTCTATTTAATTCCTTTCCCCCCTTTTAAGTTCTTATTTGGCTGGATGCCTTTGTTTAATTGGATCAAAGCCCTTTTATTTCGGGATTTATTACCATTTGTACCCGATATATTTGTTGTTTCTATTTAATTCCTTTCCCCCCTTTTAAGTTCTTTTCTTTCCACTTTTCTGTTTTTTTGGGTCCTTTAAATTGTTTTATGTTGTAATTGAAACATGTCATTGGAAAGTGGTTTAAAAATTTCATTTGCATTTTCTCTTTTCATTTTAATTTTAGGAGAAATGAAAAGTAGCATTGATAAAGTGACATCAGCTTGAAGGAGCTGATGGAGTTTGTAATTTGATATTGTTTCGTGTGTACCACTGTCTATACCTCTCTCTCTCTCTCTCTCTCTCTCTCTCTGTGGGATATCTTGGACCTAATCAATTAGCCCGCTGATTAGCGGGTGGGAACATGCTGTGCAGGTCAAAACTGAGTCATTGAATCAACTGAATGAGCTTGAGGAAATGCGTGAGAGACTAGAGGCAAGAAAATTAGTGATTGGGAACATGTCAATGCGTTGCAAGCTTGCAACAGAGGATGCTAAAAAACAGGAGGAAATGCTTAGTACTGAAGTGAGATCCTTGTTGGTTGCTGGTACCTCACTTTCTGTGGCAAGGAAGCGGTTGCAGGTGAAGTATTTTTATTCTTACTTAAATGCCAATTATCTTCGGAATTTCATTTTAAGTTTTGAGGAAGGTTGAATTTATGCTATTGTAGAACTTTTCTGCATATTCAGCTTTAGGTGTTTGATATTCTCCCCTCCAATGCAAGATGTCCTTCTCCCACCCACCCCTCCCCCTAGTGGGTGGAGGTGGATGAGTTGATTAGATGGGAAGTATTCTCATTCCATGAATACCTTTGAGTAGTCATGAATTATCTCCTTCTTGCTATCTTATTTCTTTCCCTCCTTGTTCATGTAATTGTTCCGTAGGATTTCATACATGACATGACAGGATTGATTATTATTATTATTATTTTATTACAGGAATCAAATAGATTACTCACTGAAGAAAGGGGTTACATTAAGCTCAAAAATGTGCAGAGAAAGCTTCGAGCTAGGCAACAATATATGATATCACAAGTTTCATTGCTCTACCCTGTAAAGATCTTGGTTGGACCCGCACAAGAGCAAGAACTTGAATCCTATCCAAGCAGTAGTAGACTAGGTAATGTACTAGTAGTTTTGGGTTACTAAACCCTTTGGAATAGAGGACAACATATGGTTTGAATCGGCAGCCAATCTCCAAGTAACCAATGTTTCGTTCCTGTTTAGTTCATGGTATATTATGATATTCTTAGTTGATGTTTATCCTCCCCCATATATCATTGAGAATCACAGTGACGCATGTTACATTTGCTACCTTATTTGCTTGAGATTTCTGATGGTCAAAATGGGTTGAGGAAAATCGTTCCATGAATTGCAGCATGTGGTTTTTCCTTGTTGATTATTGAATATTAGTACAAGCCCTTCTTTCTCTTGAACAGTTCCATCTTGCAACATGTTGGAAAATCTCTATCAATGGACATGCCAGGGTCTGCATTCAGTTTCAAATATGGTTGTATCAATGTGATGTTCTGCCAGGGGAGAACAAAAGAATATTGAGTTATTTAAGATTTTGTTGGCTGGCTGAGCCTTCTATGGTTCCTAAACAGCTTAAGGATTACCATTACCCATCCCTCCACCCTTCTTTCAGTTATAATTGTTGTATACTTCACATGTACTTCAATTATTTTCTTTTTACCAATCTATTATTTAATTCTCTTTAGTATTAAATTAACTTTTTGTTTGTTCTCGAATATTATGGAATTTTGGATACCTTTTACCTTTATGATTATATTGTATTGTATACCATGTTGACTTCCTTGCTGTGTGAGCCTGCTGATCTTTTCAAGAGTTCTATTTAACTGCTGGTGCCTGGTGATGTGTTAATACTAAGTTCCTTTTGTTGTTGTCTTCACTAGGGAATTATTCTGTATCGAAGCCCATTAATCAAGGATCCTTGACGATTTTAGGTCTGCATCTCACCATGCTTCCTTTTACAAAGATGAGTTTTTTCACTGACAAAAGGGAGGTTCAGAGATCTGCAACTGCCTTAGGATATGTTGCACATGTGCGTTCCATTTCTTTGCTTAATATAAAGATTTTCTTTAGTGAATTTTTTTTTTGATAATATCAAGCCATAGGCATTGAGTTCTTCCACCTGGAGTCCCTTGTTGCTCCAAGATGCTGTAGTTATTTTATATTGCTATATAGCAATTTAGTATCTTGGGAGAGTCTTAAAAGCTTGTTTCTCTTGCTGAGGCAATAATTTTATTCATACCTAATTATTCTTTCTTGTCTCTCCCTGTACGCTCATTGCAGGGTGTTTCACTAATTGCATCCTATTTACAAGTTCCCTTGCGTTATCCTGTGCACTTGGGTGGTTCCCGCTCATATATTAACGACTATGCACCTTCAGTGGAGCCTACTTCTTCTGATTTGTTATGGGATACAGCACTTTCTGTAAATGTAAAGCCTGTAGAATTTCCCTTGTTTTTAGAAGGTCAAGACACAACAAGAGCAGCATATGCTGTGTTCTTGTTAAACAAGGTGAGTTTTCACATACTATCATTTATTTTTGTGAATTATTCTCCTCTTGCATTTTTTATGTAGGGTATTCAATTCAAATCACTGTGAAGTTGGCATGTCCTTTGCTATTACGAAAGATGCTCTTCATCCACATCTTGGAAAAAGTGTCTCCTTTACAACTCATATTTATATCTTTGGTAGTGGCTAATAACACTTCATCAGCATCATCATGGTTGAATTATTCAGTAGAATAGATTTACTTTCATCCAGTTTCACGGGATAGACTTTTAAGACTTTCTATAAATTTCATCGGCCTCATGAGTGTGTCACACAAAGTCCGTATTTTAAATATGAGATGAGAGGAAGGATTATTAACAAATTAGAAAATTGTTACATCCAAAAGGACTCAAATCCCGTTCCCCATAACGAAACTAAAAATTTAAATAGAAAAGGTAATGACCAAACTTTCGTCTTTCCTGTTTTTGCCTCCATCTCTTTCTTTTCCCTTGTTTTCGTACTTTGGAATTTCTTTCCAGAAGTTTATTCTTTTGTTTTCTCATCTTTCCTTAGGCAGAAATGCACTCTTCTGATCTACGTACATTAGTGTAATAAGTTTACACTGCTTCCTATATTTCTATGTGGTTCATCTTTTACTAAGGATCTAATAATCTAATTCTTGCACATCATGCTTGTTAATTTGCTTAGTTCTTATTCTTTAATGTTAGACATAGAAATTATCAAATAATTAGGAAATACCATGTTGATAGTCACACTTTACAGCCAAAAGGAGATTTAGCATTCAAAATCTCCTGTCACCTAACTTAATTATCAAAAGACTAATTAGGAAAGTAAGGGCAAAATATTTGAGTTTCCAGTGTTTGTTACTTTCTTGTTCTTCTCAAAATTCGCTTCAAAAGTTTAATCTTTGTTTTGTCATTTAAAATAATGCTGATCCCGATTCTTTGATAAGAAATACACTCCCAATCCGCTTGTAATTGTTACATTAATGTAATAAGTATAAACTACCTGGTAGCATTCTGCTTGTTTCCTTGTTTTACCATTGTATCTAACAATCCATTCATACTCAGCATGCATGTAAATCTTCTAACTGTTCCCCTATCTAGAGCATTTTAATGAAAGAAATTGCCATTTGCTGTAAGTAACTATTGAAGTTTTTATGATGTTATTAATCAACTTCAAGTGTAACAAGTATCAAATTTGAACACAGATATTGTAAGATATGAATTATGCATGATATATGGAAGGGAGTACATTAAATCACTGTTAGACCAGTCTAAGTTGCTTTATTCCTTGGTATAGTTATGTTTTACTGAAAATGGTCCCAAATATCATTTAAGGTTGAAAGGGGCTTGTAAGGCAGAGCGAATTTCAGAGTAGAGAAAGGGTGAATATTTTTGCCAGACTTAGACTAACATATAGTAACTTCTATATCTATCTGTAAGTTTTCTTCAAATGTTAAAGTTCAATTTTGTTATAGATGACCTATTATCTACTCTGAGCATAGAAGGCCAACATACTGAAAATGTGTCAATGTATATATGTGTAAGCAACTTCATATAGACATGTATGTAAGGATGCTTACAGGATCTCTACGAGTCTAACTAGCCTTCTTCTTAGTGTTAATTCGTTGTACAATGTTTTAAGGTTTAGTTCATGTCATTTTGGCAAAATGTTTGTTGAGATGCACAACATTTTAATTGTCTTATATATATATATATATATATTCTTTTTGAATTGAATTCATAGTCTTCTCTGTGTTTGCAGGATATAGAGCAGCTTTTGAATTTCATCAGTGTCAAGAGTTTAGGACCACGACATGTACTAGCAAATTTGAAGGAGCTTCTGAGGACTGTCCAATCTTCAGAATTTATAGATACCTGAATTTTGATTTACTAGGGTCAACTGTAATTAGCTACTTACAGTGTAAATGGATGACTTTGTATTCTTTACACAGGTGCGAATTTTTGATCACGCACCTTTCATATAGCCTTTAAAGATCTCATATTTGGTTGTTAAAAATCAAGCTTCGAGTGTATTCATAATGAGCAGATGGTTTGGCGTTACAGTAAAATTTGGGTATGGAGGGTTTGCCCTATGGAAATCTGTTGGCTTATGCATTTCTTGATGAGAATATAAGCTGAGAAGATTTGGAAATGGATTGTTGTGTATAAATGTTACATGTGAATTAAGTTCTTAAAACTTGAAGTCGAACTTTGCAATATTAACCACATTTTAATTATGTTTTAGTATGTTTGAACTATTTGTCCCACAAAAAGTAACACAGGAGTCATCTTTAAGAATAACGGATCATTCGTTGCCATACAAATGAGTAGGGATGCAGGTCAGAATGTGTTGGAGGTGACGAAAAGGAAGATTGAAACAGTTATTGAAATATTGAGGTGGTGATGGCATAACGTGTTGAGAATAGGTGGCAGGTGTAGAGAGTTGAGAATAGGGTTAGAATATGATATAAGAGGGCTAAATAGGAGAGAAAGGATTAGAATATGGTAGGAAAGGGCCAAAATAGAAGAGATTTAGAAAAAAGAATATTTAGAGAGAGAATGGCTAAATAGAAGAGAATTGGAGAGACAATATTGGTTGGAGTACAGCAAATTACTATGTTGTACGAGTTTGAACAGAGCAACGTGTGAGAATGAGGGTGTTAAAGACATTTAGAAGCTGGATCCTGGCCCTTCACGACATAATTGCTCACCTCATGAATACATGGAGGACAGTCATGAAAATCAAGAAATCATTACTGATGAATTTCTTGATTTCGTTGCTGACAAGCAAGGAAAAGCTTGGCTTGCATATTTGAAGCTTGACGTATGTAATTCTATATCTTTCAACCAACTTTTAGTAGGATGAGTCTCACGCACTGATAGAAACCAACGCCTTGAGAGCTGCATAAAACTATTTGGGATTTGCTTTTCGGGGATGTATCATGACTTAATTTGTCCCAAATCATTGATCACTGCTCATAAATTACAACCTCTGATCTCCTGGCCTTTTATCAGAATTTCGTGGTTGTGGAGCCTGCGACCAGTAGTTATTATTGCCCTTCCCTTCTGCTATTTTGAGTGAATGCAACGAACTGAGACAACTTTTCTTCATTGTTGGCCCTGTGTTGAACATTCTTAATTCAAATAATACACAATGATAAAAGTCTGGCTGGCTTGAGTTTACCAGTATCTCCGTTCAAGCCAGACATATGCTTTTGCATCTTTAACGGAGTCAGTGTTACAAAACACAGACCATTTTTGGACCAACAACCTGCATTCGCTTCTCTCCCTTCAAGGACTAGAGAGGACGTTGATGTAGATACCCCTGCAATTAGCGGTTATTGTCAGATTGTTCCAGAGCTCAAGGGTCGCAAGACATCAAGTATATTATCATATCCAAAGCAAACAGAAAAAAGGCGATTAGCGCTTAATCTACTTCCCATGTTGTTGATTCAAATCAAAAAAGGCAGCAAAAATCGAAAATTATACAGCGTACAAGCTAAAGCAAAAATTTGCAGTACTGAGTTACCAGAATTTTAAGCTAAGAGATGTTGTGGTTCTTGTTATGGTTAGTTAACCATTGTTGATGAGAATTTGGTCATAACTCTCTTAAACCATTTTAAGAATTGGATCTCAATTGATCTCCCTCAAAATGAAGTTTTCACAACATCGAACTACCTATATGATACAGAGAAAGTTATCTTATCAGTTGAACCATTATCACATCCGAATAGTTATGCCATTGTTGTTATTTGTGGCGTGTTTTTTCGATTAACTTTCTACAAATCAAGGCAAAGAAATTGGATTTATCTATTATTTATCAAAATTTGATTTATGTTATCAGATATTGAAACATGATAGTTTCTTTGATGTTAATGATAATAGTCTTAACCACACTTTGAAGCCACCAAAGTTAAAAGATAGTTGTGCTGGAAGACCAAAGGTTAGAGGCCTATTTAAATCAAGCATAGTTTATTGAATCATCTAAGGGAGATCTATTCTTAATTAAAAAAATTTTGGATGCCAATGATAATGATGGGATAGCTCATTTTACTAATTTTGTAGTTTTAAATTGGTTTAGGATGATCAAACTGATAAATTATTAGAGCAAAATGGGATAAAAAATATAGTCGGAGATAGAGTGTTTGTGGTGATAACAAGACTTTGGTTATCTCAATTTTAAACTTTCATGAAACCGAGTCTAATTTTATATATTTCATATATGATTATTTTGATGTTAATGACTATGTGCAAAATGACCCTCGAGATATTAGTATTTTTAACCTAAAAGATGAAACGTTTGAAAAACATTATCAATTTAAACTTTCACACAAATATCTACTTTTTTATATTTAAATTTTACCACCAGTTGAATTTAAATTAAAATAAATTTAAGTATATTTTAGTTTTGGTATTTGAGGCATTATGAAGCCATATAATGTTTTAATTTTGATCTTTAAATTAAGGTCAATTTAAGTATCTTTTTTAGTTTTGTTTTTTGAAGTTAAATCCCAATTTTGCCCTCTAAGTCCCTAACGTTCTGCAATTCATCCACTTCCAGCTGATTCTTTTAAACTCAATATCGACGAGGTTGCTAGAGGGAAACTTGGGCCAAGAGTTCTAAGAGACCATAATGGCTGCGTTAGAGGGACATTGTCTCGGCACATTGGCATTGAAGACGCTAACTTTGTAGAATTTCAAACCATTCATCAAGGTATCATCTTCTTCCTTGCCTCCCCCTGGGCCTTTCCTCGTCATTTGAAAGTCGAGAGGCACTCCACTAATGTCATTCTTTGGGTAAAGGATCACTCACAAGTTCCATGGAGAACGAAATTTATTTCAAACTCCATTGAAACTCTCACTATTAGGCATGAAGCAAATAGTATGTCTGATGGATTGGCCAATCACAATGCGTCTGTCTATTGATTCGTGGATAGCTTGGGTCACTCTATAATCTTGTAAAGGGCGTTTTATGCTTTAAGTTAAACTATATTTACTTTTTGTATCAAGGAAGCCTTTTAAGTTCTTGCTTTTGAAATCTCGTCTAAGACCGTATTAATAAATTCATTGCTGTTTTCATTATAATAATAAAGCATAAAATAGCATAATATTATAAAGTAACTGTAAATACCATATAATAAACTTAAGAAATATTATAATATTTTGATGCCACAAGTAATTCTTACAGATATTAAGTACACAAAAATATTACAAAATAACACTTTCAAATACTTCAAATTAATTAAATGACAATTACAACTATAATATATATGGGCAAACATATTTAAATATAATCTTAGTGATCATTATCAGCATATTCTTTTTCATATATGTGACATAATATATATATATATATATATATAATCTTGTTTGTTACTAGCCAAAATGACGATGCCATTTATACGATACACATGTGTAAATTATATCTTATGTAGTTTTCAATAGTTCACATGTACAATGATTAAGAAAAAAATAATTTTCTAAACATCAGTTTGCAAATAAGATTAAGAAAAATACAAGTTCAGAGAATGAGACTTTTTTTTTTCTTTCTACTTATTTGATATATGTTACCTTATAACATTTTTTTTATTATCGGGTATAATTGGAGAGGGGGATTCGAATTTTGCTTTTTACAGCTTGAAAAGTTAAAAAAATATTAATTTGATAAATAAATATAAAAAATTATATATAATAACTCTGATTTTATATATTATTTTTAAATAAATAAATAACATACAGGTTTACGATTGTTTGGATTTTCTCTTTGTTGAATGGCGTGTTTCTAGTTCTTGATGAATCCAGGATTAGTTAAAGAATACAGCGCCAGGTCTTGTTAACGCACCTGAACCGAACAAGTGATTTGGCTGGCAATTTTGGAAGTATATATAATGTCCATGATCAAGTCATGAGAAAAATGATTTCAGATATATAATCTATATAATATAATTGATTAAAAACAGTAATTAACACAAAAAAATATAAAATTGTAATTTAAAGGAACAATTAATAAAGATTTTTTTGTCTAAAAAGGATTTGCGCAAGTCCCTACTTCTATTTATATTATATATGCTTGAAGAATATAGCAAAGAGAAAGGCAAGAATATAAATTGAAGTAGTTAGGGATTTGTGCAAAATCCTTTTTAGACAAAAGGATCATCTTTATTAATTGTTCTTTTAAATTACAATTTTATATATATTTTTGTTAATTATTGTTTTTAATCAATTATCAGCTAAAAATAGTATTTATATCCTGAATAAATAAGAGTTTTAATTCCTTTGAATTGTTATTTTATAACAGAAATTCACTGCTAATATAATAGTAATTTATTTAAAATAATAAAAATGTATTTTTCATGGCTTTTTGACGTATAAGAGTGTTATTGTTATATTGAGTTGTTATAATTGATAAAATCTTCAATTTTAATAATATTATATTAATTATAAATTAAAATGATAACATTTCAATTATTAATAATTATATATAAAATTTTATTATTAAAATGTATATTAAAAAGTAAAAAATTACCATGTTACAAACTGTATCTAGCGTAAAGTATTCAATGCATGAAGATACTATTCTATAAATTGCAAAAAATTATAGTCTCTCCACTTTGATTTTTGACATGAAACTGAAATTTTCCCTATATGACAAATTGAATCATCATATTATTTAATAAATTTACTAAAGTTCTGGTTTTGTTTTTATTTTTTGATACAATGAATATGATCGAATTTAAAATCCAAAATTTTTCATTCCTTTGATGTCCAGTAATTTTTGGGCCTTGTGAATGGTTCCTTGTTAAACAAGCACCCATCAGTTCTCTCTTGTTGTCATGCCTCGGTTCCTAGTTCTTGAAGAACTTGTAATCTTGAACAAACCCAATAATTAACCCTATACAAACCTCAAATCCTACATAGAAACGAAGAACAATTTCAAGGGAGTATTAGGAAAGGTTGCTTCATAGCTACTCCATTGATTTCCTTCTCTGCTTCTTGTTCCCTCTTGTTCTTCTTTGTTTATCTTGTTTCTTGCTCTGTAAGTTCCATGGAGAGCTCTGCTGATCCTGAAAGCTCCAACTCAAGGGCCTCCACGGATTCTACTTCTCTTGAAACCCTTGAGCTTTCTATTGGGAATCTTTGCGTGAAGAATGGCAAGGTTGAGATTGATGGCTCGGCTACTACTCAGGTCAACAGGGCTTATTCGTCTTTGCCTCTGAATGGTTCTTTAACTAGCATCTTGCTTGGTCCTGGACCGAACAACAGAGAAAGTATGTTGAGTTCTTCAAAGAAGTATAGTATTTTTCCTTCTTTTAATCATATGAATCTGAATGGTGCGGATTGTCAACCATATGGTTTTTCTGAAAACCTGACGGAAAAAACATTGAACACCGGGTATGGGTTTGAAGAACCATACCTACATCATTTGAAATCAAAGGGATGGGAGGATTCCTTGTTCAGCGATGTTAACTTATTCGGTGGTTTGTATAAAGAAGAACCCTGCCTTCCTTCTCATCCTGAAGCAGTTACAACTGGTGCAAATCTTTCGTGGAGTGGTTTCAACATGAGTAATGAGAGAGTTCTGGTGGTTTCCAGGATTTGCAAGGTAATCTAATTATTAAACTGGCCATGACTGGAATAGGCTCGAAATATTTCCAGGATTTGGTACAGTTGAAGGACCCAAGAATTACACAACTGATATTTGAAGGGGTTATTGAGAACATATTCGAGCTGATGACCGACCAACATGGACGCTATCTATTTCAGAAGCTGATTGAGTTAGAAAACGAAATTCAGTTGCAGATGATTGTGGAAAAACTAACAAATTCAGACGGAGACATCTTCTATACATCAATCCATAGATATGGCACTTATTCTATTAAGAAGCTGATCCAAGTGCTTGAGAAGTCACCATTGGTTACCGAGGTTGTTAAAGCTTTGTGCAACAAATTCTGGGACTTGATGGTCAATCCAACAGGACGACATGTTATAATGGAGTGCCTGGACGTTGTCGACTCTCAGAAGAATGACTTGCTATATATTGAAGCCATCGATAAATGTCTACAACTAGCCACACATGAGCGGGGATGCATATCCTTAAACAATTTTATCTCCCGTATCAAAGGGCCTCGAAGAGATCAACTCCTGAACTTGATCTGTGATCATGTGGTGTACCTTTCACAAGATCCTGCAGGGAACTTTGTTGTGCAGTACGTCCTGGGGCTCCAAAAGCCTTCCATGATCGATAAAATTTGCTTCAAATTGAAAGGTTACTACGTTAAACTATCCCGGCAGAAAGGAGGAAGTCATCTGGTAGAGGATTGCTTGAAATCTTCAGGGATGGATCATGTGGTTCATGAATTTCTTCATAGCAATCAACTTCTTCACGTTGCGAAGGATCGATATGGAAACTATGTTCTCCAAACTGCTTTAAGAGAGACGATGAAAACAGGTAGTCCACTTCATGGAAGTCTTCTTGTGAAACTCCTGTCATATCTTAATTCTCTGCAGCATGGGTACGGAAGAAATGTCCTCACATTGATGACAGCTCAGCTTAAAAAGGCGTGAAGTGATCTCGGACTAGCTTCGTATGTTTTGTTTGTTGCTAAGTAAATTCCATTTGTCAAGCTTCTTATTTCTCTATATTGCTGGTGTAATGAATACTGCGAATGAGCCTGTTTCCCGTATAGCATATCCTGTTATGTTTCTTGATTTAATTCTTAATTTTTAGGAAACCAAAAAACTTAACCAAATAGATGAGCTGCCCAACATGTAGAGGAAAGTAGGAATACTGATCGTTTATCGAGTTTGAATTCTTCTTAAGAACATCTCTTGGAAGGAAGGCCTAGTTGCAGACAGAATGCAACTTCTCTAAGTTTTGAGTAACATTGTGTCACAGACAGGAACACAAGGCAGCAAACTGAGCAATCAAGTAAAACCCCAACCAAATTTCCAGCATATACCCTGCAGCTGCACTGTTACAAGCTCCCCTCCTCTCCGTTCAATTTCAATAAGCAAGGGAATTAAATTCAAACCCTAGCGACCCTGCAAATAAAAGGTTCTGAAAATTTACTTGGGAGTTGAGACACCATCATAAGCCTTGAAACCGAAAACAGACCACGACTTGAAAATTTTGAAATTGTCAGAGGAAATGGAATTTTAAAAAAAAATTCAATTAATCAAAGTTTTATCTTTGAAAAATCGGATCATATCTCCATAAGTAGATAGGCCAACATCAACAAACATATGTTAAATGCATTGTGTAGAGAAGCAAACACATCTGGTAGGAGGCCATGTCATTCATTGACAGCGCGTTGTGGAAATTGCAATTTGAATAATGCGCTGGGTTCTAGGAGGTCTAGTGTTGATGGGGCTGGTATTTTCAAGGGCTTGGTCTGTTTTGCAAAAGAACCCGAAGCAGGTGTTGAAGCTGTTTACCCCCAAGTTGACATTAATGATTCAAATGACACTCCTCACCCTGTCACTGCAAACTTAAGGATTGAAGGAGAGAAGAAAGTGCTGTTCTCATCAAGATTAAGGAATAGAAAATGGAGATGTTATGAAGAAATCAAAGAGAAACTCATGAGCAAGGTCACAAAAAGAAAGAAAAGTGTGAAGAAGAAATCTCGACGGAATACCAAGAGGAGTAGTTGTGGCAGTGAAAATTGGATAGTTAATCGTTCTCTTTCTGAATCGGAATTTGGTAATCCCTGCAAAAGGGCTTGATCATTCAACACATGATCAGTGTTATAGTGAATTATCGTGTCTAACCATTTTACACACCAGTGGTGGGGACTCTTGTGTTTGGAGTCTTGTGTTCTAACAATGTAGAATGATGGTTTATGGACATTGAATCTTTTCCAAGAATGTTGTTTGAGTGGAAAGAGTATTTTGGGAGGAGTCATTTAGAATGTTCGTTGTATTTTTTAAAAACAAATCCTTTTAGAATACAAGCTAAATTGAAATACAATGTTAACAATGGACATTGTATTTCCAGATCTAAATTGAAAAAAACAGATACAGAGTAATCTCAACAATCGGGCATCAGCCAATTAAATTCAAGCTTTGTGGATTTATAGAAAGACAAGCAAGAAGCAAACATCCTTATTTATTGTCCTCACCAGGTTGCATCTCAACTGGCAACTGTATCCGTCAGGTTTTCTTTCTTTCTTTTGCTTCTAGCAAGCTAAATGTAATGTTTTTTCTTTTACTCTTTGTTCAATCTGTAGGTAGTTGCAGTTTGGCTCTGTAAATTTCTTGTTGGAAAGATACTGTTTAGGAAGCTGGGAACAGCACAACCATGCAAGTATGAACGTTTATGTACCTCCAAATGCAATAAATATTGCTTTTTGGATTAGGAGGTTCAACTTGCTCTCAGAATTGGCTATAATATTTGTATCTCAACAGGCTTGCATGGACCATGGTTTCTTTTACCTAGTGAATCATGGCGTGGAGGAAGAATTGCTTAAGGAAGTTTTTTAGCAGAGTAGCTAGTTTTTTTCACTCCCAGTTGAAGAGAAGATGAAATTGGCTAAAAAGAATCACAGATGTTGTACAGCGCTCTGTGCTGAAAACCCCGATACTTCTTTAAGTACCAAAGGTATTTTTTAATTAACGTTCTCTTTTTCTTCTTATTATTGTTTACTTCTTTTTTCTTAAGTTGCCTGTTCAGTGATCGTGTCAACGAGTTTGATGTGATATATTAGTAGAACTACTCAAGATTTTCCGATATCTAATGCAAAGAAACCAAAAATGAACTTGCTTACTGATCAGGATCTTTATGCTTTTGATTTTGAATTCTTTTCCTATTCTCTGTTTGTGACCCATTAATTGGATCTACCCATTTCAGTGGAGTTACTTTGCTTTGTTTCTTCCCGGTTTACATATATGTTGTAAGATTGAACACCTGTGACTGGTTGAAAAACAGGTGACAGGAAAGAAAGTTTCTATATCGTTCCCTTAGCAGATCGCCTCAATCAGTGGCCTTTAGAAGGTATGCATTGTACTGTTATCTCATGCAAAAACATCTAGTAAAAGTTGTCCCAAATTTCTTGATTCATATAAAAAGTTCAATTGAGTTTTAATCAGATGTTTTCTGACTTGGAAATTTCAGAAGATCTGCCATCTTGGAGAAGCACAATGGAGACTCACCATAAGAAAGTGCTGTGAGTCCTGCACTGTTTATTTACATGTTGGCATTTATGGTTTTCTGATGAGAAAAAATAACTCTTTGATTATATTTTGCTTGGAAAATTGAATGAGATACCTCTGCTAGGACAATATTTTAGTGGCAGAAGTATCTCAGTTTTCCAAGCTTGTAGAATGAAAATACTGCAAGATTTACATGGTGCCAAATTTGCTGCGTCCGGTGTGCTAGGACCAGATTAATTTCTTTAATTGCCCTGGATTTGAAATTGGTTGAGGATTTCTTTGAAAAGGTAGGAGCGCCGAATGAACCAATGGCATTTATTCGTATATTACACCATCCTGGTATAATAGCACTGATTGGCTTCTTTATATTTGTTTTAGTCATTGATTGATGTGAAGTTTTTATGGAACTCTTTTTTTTCACTTTTTCCTTTTCTTTCTTCATTAATATTTTACCTTGCACATGTAGATATTTAACAAAACTTTCCCTTCTAGCGAAGAAATATATGGATAAAAAGCAGATGATCAGAAGTTCAGAGCCATAAAAACTTAAAAGATGGTATTGTGTTTCTTAATTTTGATGTTAGAGGACTTGGACTCCTTCAGTGAAGAAATATATGGCGCTCCTGCTCATTCAGATTATGGGATGATCACTCTTCTGGTGACTGATGGTGTTCCAGGGCTTCAGGCATGTTTCCTGTCAATAATATGCAACCCCTAAATTCTGCTTTTCAATCCAACATGTCTTTCACCTTTGTGATAAAAACATTTGCAGGAAGAAAGCCAAGCAACCACAAGTTTGGGAGGATGTGCCAAGCATGAATGGGTGAGTGTAAATGGTGGCAGATTGTTCTTGTAAACAGAACTACTAGGTTAAGGTGCTTCGTTCCTAGCTTCTCAACGCACTCTCAAAGAAAAAACAAGGGAAACCACATAGTTACATCTTGTCAAATCCAGCCTCTTAACATTGGATTTGAATCTGCAGGGCATTCATTGTTAACATTGGGCACTTGTTGGAGAGGTGGACCGATTGTTTGTTCCGGTGATTGAGTTGCCTGCTATCTTAAATAGCTTTGGATGCTCCTCTTGGAGTATTCTGTAAAATAACAATGTCACTGTCTATCTCCTCTAATTTCCGTCATCAATTTTTAGGTCAACACTGCACAGAGTGCTGCCACCTGGAGAAGAACGCTACTCCGTAAGTTTCCTGTTCTACTTCCATTGTCATTTCTTGTCTGTCAAATACTTTAAGTTAAGAATAATCTTAGCACTTTATGGTGTTTGGAGTAATAAAGAAACTATAAAGTGTAAGCATGTGATATTTCTATTATACATTAAGGTATAATGGTGTCAATATGTAAATCTAACATCTTAGTTTATGATGCATTCCTATTATACCATTGAAGGTATAATGATACAAAATAGATATATTAAACATTTGACATGGCTTTTTAATTGTGTAATAAAGGTACGATACTACTTATGTGAATATATATACCATGTTGTGTTAATTTGATATTTCGATTGTATATTAAGGTACAATAGTATCAATTGAGATTCTTTTTGTTTTATTGTCATGATGGATTTAATTGGTTAGCTTAAGGTAAGAACCACTTTATGGTGTTTGGAGAAATAAAGAAATTATAAGATGTGGCAGGTGGCATTCTTATTATACATTAAAGTATATTGATGCTAATTTGTAAATCTAACATCTTGATATATAGTGCATTTCTATTTTATCATTGAAGGTATTATGATACAAAATAGATATTTAAAATATTTGGCATGGTATTCCAATTGTGCAATGAAGGCACGATGGTGCTTATATGAATATATAGCTCAATGTGTTAGTTTGACATTCTGTTTGTACATTAAGTTACAATGGTGTGAATTGAGAATTACTTTGTTTCATTGTCATGATGGATTTGGTTGGTAAGTTTAAGAAGGGAATCACTTTGGGGTGTTTGGTAAAATAAAAAAGTTATAAAGTGTGTGCATTTAGTATTCCTATTATACATTAAGGTCTAATAGTGCCAATGTGAAAATCTAACATCCTAATATATATTCCTATTTTTCCATTGAAGGTATAATGATATAAAATAGATATTTAAAATATTTGACATTTTAAATAGAAAGACTTAACAATATATAAAATAATATATGAATATAAAATATTTTACCAGTCCATAGAACACCTAGATGACAGACCAATGGAATTTTGCTTTACTGTCAAACTAGTTAATTATTCTATTCTTGAGAATCCAAAGATGACCACTAGATATTGTTAGTCAATGATTTTGGACATAATGATCTTCATCCTGCATTTAAGGTTTAATTTGGATTCGAACCTTCGGGCGATATGGTCAAGGACAGTCGTGATTCGCTCAGTGTCCTGCTTTTGAAGTCAGAAGATTCAATGTAAAGGTTTTGGTATTTTGCCAACATTGTGGGAAATCCATTCCTCTTAAGAATGCTTAAAAGTCCTCAAGTGGAAATGGACCTTAGTTTAAGAGTATATTTTATTTATACTGGTAGGAAGAAATTCTGTCTGTCAGCCATTTTTCCAGTATATCAAACTTGTTATTTATTCTGTTCAATATTAACTGTTACATGCTTGTTTGAGTAGTCAGCCCTGATTCCCTCCTCCATTGATACTTACCCAAAAATGGTTTCTAATATACAACAAACTAAACCTTTTCACATTTTGTTAGATAGGCTAAATAGATCAAACTGCACCACTGGGCTCTATGCAATTCCATCTATGTAGGAAGCTCTAGTCAGATTGAGGTCTTTTTAAATAGTCTTTCTTTGGTCTTTCTCTGCTTCACTTGATATGGACGGAATTACTAGATCTCCTCTTTATATGTTCAAACCACTTGAATTATGGTTTCTCATTGTCCTCAATGGATGTGAAACCACCCTTTTCCCTTGTGCACCCATTCTAAATCATATATTTCCATGTGTGCCTGCACGTCTAGATTTTTTTTAATCTTTTTGCATGTATTGATACTTAGTTGCCCAATATTTAGTCCATGAACATTGCTAGTTTTATTGATGTCTTATGAAATTTCATTATTAAGGTTCACTGGAACTTTGTGATCGCGCAACATTGCTTCCAACATCAACTTGCCAACGTGTGCAAAAATACCTCATTGTTGGCTCTGTGTTGAATATTACTTAATTCAACGTCCTTTAGATAATAAACAATCAATCGGCTCCCCTGACTAGATCCGGTTCAGAGGTGGCCAACTGGTGATGAAAGTGCCACCGCCCGACCGTTTGAGAGAAAAGAATTTTTAATAGAAAAAAATAAATTTTTTAAATAAAAATTATAATTTATACATTATATATTTTTTGAAATTAATGAACAGTAAAACTATTTAAAAAATATTATCATATCACTAAATTAAATAAAATAATAACAATTAAACTTATGCATATAATGAAAAATAATTTTTGAAACGGATTATTCATTTTTCATTATAATGGATTCGTGAAAAATTTTTGATTTTTGCTCTTTTCTCTTGTGATATGTTATAATCTAGAGCCAATCTTCAGGGTCGCATAGACTTATCCTTTAGATTGTATACAACTAATTTGGTTTTCAATGAAAAGACCTCGGTTATTCTTACAATTTTGTTTTCTTCATTCCAACTTGAAACATCGTAATCCAATCCATGAAAAACTTTTATATATATATATATATATATATATATATATATATATATATATATATGTAGGGCAGTGTTGCAACCATCTGCGAAGAAATAATTTCGGATTGAACAAGACAAGCTCATAAATAATATTAATGACATTTATTAGATTCTTTCTTGAGCTAAAGTTGCTAGAATCCAGACTAGCACGCATCTTTGTTTTTTCTTTTCCATATATGTGACATAATATGTTTATCTTTAATTTACTTCTTTATTATTAATCAAAGTGCACTTACGTTAAATTTTGAAGTTCATAACTTGCCTCCAATGGGTGAACAAAAATTCAAAGCACTGAAATTAATGCCTGATAACCATACCTAAATAATTAATCTAACAACTCAATACTCCATAACTCCATGATTTAAAACTCAAAAAAGTTGTATTCCAAATCAAACTCCATTTATTTTCACGCTACAAATTAATCAACAGTGACATTTGTGTGATGTTCATGTATGTATTATGTCTTGTATAGTTTCCCGTAATTCACATGCTACACTGATTAAGAAAAAAAAATAAAAATTCTATAAAAATTAATTTGCAAATAAAATTCACAAAAATGCATCGAGATGCAGCAATCGAGCAAAAAGAATTTTTTTTTCCTAATTATTTGACACATATGACAGGTTCAAACTACAGTCGCTTAAGCAATTTGAAGAAATTAATTGCGCAAATCAATAATAAAAAATTACATAAAGAAACTATGATTTTATACCGTATTTTCAAGAAATAACATACAAGGACATCACAATGTTTCCCACAATTCCCTATCTACACAACAATTTAAACATAAAACCTAATAATAATCAAAATAATAAAAGAAATTTCAAACAAGATTTTAGGGTAATATTTTATTAGGAAACATTTGAATAAAAAAAAAGTAAAACTATTAAATCTATTTCCAAGTTACCATTCAATGTAAATGACTTCCTAACTATCATGTGACTTTATAGAAATGAGTTAACTAATTAAAATTTCATGATAATCTTGTGCTTTATTTGGATACATGGTATAATAATTTACATTATTTTTACTGTGAAATAAAAGCATAAAGTACATCAAGCATCCATTGAAAAAAGAACATTAGTAAAAAATATACTAATTTTGTTCTTTTTGTTTATAATCATGTTTTTATTCCCATGTGTAGAGCTCAATTCACAAGGATAAATTATTGCTGTGGGATTGGTACAAGTAATTCTTTTCTTCTTGTTGACCGCTAATCACATTAAAAAATTTCCACATACACCCCCACCCCTCTTTTTCCTTGCAATTTCCTAAAAATAAAACATTATACACTAAGCATAAACCTTGATACCTTGCACTTGGTATGAAAAAGAAGAATATGTGTTGAAAGAATACACAGAAGTGGAAGTGCCCTTGACTTCTACAATTGGATATCTAAGAATAGAAGGCCAGAACTGAAGAATGTGCACCAAGTCCAATGGGTATATTGACAAGATAAGAAAACTGAGCAGTCTAGTAAACTGTCTCACTTCATAACAGCCCAGAAAACTGATGGCAAAGGAGACAAAAATGACAGCAGTATTGATCACAGGGCATAATTTATTACGGTGCAACTTTAGGTTATAAATTTTGTATCAAGGAAGGTCCATCAGAAACAACTTATCAAAAACCAGTTCGCTAGATTATTAGTTAGAAAAGGCTTGAGATACCAGAAACCAACAAAAGAGAAAGAAGAAGTGAAAGAATAGAATTGAACAGAAGACACAGTATAGTAGCAGCGTACAATAAGCTACCTCAGAATGCGAATAGAATTAATACCAGCATGACTTCAGGAATTTAATCAGTTGACTAGAAAAAAAAATGAATATAAGAAAAACAAAACTCACGGTAGTATGCAACATTTTATGTGTAATATACAGAATAGTACATGATACCTTATAAACAGGGAATTTTTAACAAAATTTTGTTGAAGTATTTCGTAACTACCTACAATTTGACAGAGACACCCTTGTGAGAACTATTCCTATCTAACTAATTTAAAAAATTCCAAGCATTGCCTTGGCTCAAGAATCCATGTCAAATATTTACCTCAACACTTTGTAGTAGTTTGCTCTGCTAAGGACCTGTGAATATTGGTGGATATCCAAGTTGCAACACCATAAATAGAGACATTTCAGGTTAATGATTTGCCAAAACCTGTAACATACATGTAATGACCACATTATTCTCAACTGAATTCTCTTTTACCAACTGGCAAACATAAAATGAATATCAATCACATAGTTATCTTTTCCTTTTTCCCTTTTCTTAAACTAGCAGAAAAAAGGAGCAGGTAAGACATGAGTTTCAGCTTCAAACCATGTTAAAGTTCATAAACTACTAGGATAGCATAGACTTATATGTTGATAAAGTTCATACTGCCTAATTTTCAACTACGGTCAATACTTAAAAAATAGTAAATATGACAAAGTCCAATTATAGGAAATAATTATATAAAAGGCTAGAATTCAGCATTAAAACTATCCATAAACCCTAAGGCAAGCTATATTGTTAAAGATTGGCTCATGTAACAAGAAACAAAAACTTTGCAAGAAGGGACTTGGTTGATGAGTCATAGAATAACCTCAAGTATTTCCAAAAGACTGAGTAAAAATACAGGCCATTTAGTATCTACATATCCAAACCATGCCCATCTGCACAAGTATTGCATATGAAGCAACCACCAACTCGGACAGTACCTAACTGTACAAGTTTGCGTGTCAAATGGCAATGCAGGAGCAGATAGCATAAGGTCTACTGTTCCTTTTCAAGTAAAAAATGCAGATAGGCACTCCTGCTAAATGCAGCTATCATAGTCTATCCACTTTAGAAGGCATAGATACCAAGTCCCTAAATACAGCTATCAAGGTCTCTAGACTTAAAAGGCATAAATCCAAGTTCCACAAAATAAGAAATGACTCATCTGATCTCTATCTCCAAATGTATGCACCTCAGCAAGAACTAGGAATGTCTTACTCCCTCCATCCCATTCTGCTTGTCCATTCTATTTCTCTTTTCATTCTTGAACACCTAATACAATTTATTTTTTCTACATTTTATATTAACTTTTGTGGCATTAAATAGCATTGAACATGAAAAGTAAGGTTTTATATAAAATACACTAAAGGTCAAGTCTTTTTTAATTTTCATGCCACGTGAAAAATGGACAAAGAATACAGAGTAGATGGAGTAGAATTATTCCCAAAACTTATCAATTCAAGAGCCCCAAAATAAGATTTGATGACTAAGGAAGCTGAAAGAGATAAGAAAAAAAAAAGAACAAAGTTATGCTACCACCACTAACAACACAAGTAGACGGTTCAGAAGCTAATGCCCAATTTATCCGCAACTAAAGTCACCACAACCACAAGGACAATGACTAAACCATCCCAGCAAATGGTCTTTCACATATCTCCTAATATGCATAGTCGCTTAAAATACTCTGCTTCTATTAAGTAAATAAAGGTGGAGGGGGGAAATCCAAATATGGATTCAGAAACTAAACAAGTTCATCCTTCTTCTTAAAGGTGATAAGCTTCAATGATTGATATGTACAGCAATGAACTGCAGTTCCCACGGCTATATTTAGATACAGCTGTAATTCCTATAGAACACCAGAGGATAACCACTAAACATGCAGCTCCAATGTGTGTAGAAATGCATTGATGTGAATGTGGTTCCAAAATAAAGAGAAAAACCAGCATCACATGGAATTAACCTCAACAATGAAGGGACTGAACAATTGTTGAATAAAAAAATCAATAAAAATGCCTTAAAAATTGCTAAATTGACCAGAGTTCAGATTTTTAACCAGAAATAAATTTCTTTTAAGTTTATACTCAGTATAATTACAGAAGCTAAGAAACAGATGTACTAACCAAGTCAGAAATATGGCCTACACTCAGAAGCAAATGTTCCCGGGGATACATTTGTCAGGAAAAATTACAATATACACAATCCTGCCAAGAGTCTCCACAAGTTATCAACACTGCCCTCATGTGGTAGTTGTATCTTGTCCAGAAATTGAATCACCCTTCAATGCACCTTGTCTCACAGCCAACTACAAAGAAAAACATCAATCCATGGAATAATCAAAACAAGAATTGTCAATAAGTGGGAATGAGGGGAGGAGAGCGTTTTCAGTTTAGCATCTTTCTTCTATCCTGGAAGAATAACTTCCCCTATTTTTCTAGCAGAAAATGGAAATGAAACAAAAAAACTGTAAATTTAAGCACAAGGATTTACATGAGATCAGATAAATACAATAGCAAATACTCTCCATTCTTGCAACAAACGGGGCATAAATTTTCAACTTCAGGTCATATTAAAAAGTAGCTTACGAGCAAAATCAAAGAAAAAAAATAACAAATCTCATAACACAAATTTTAAACTTCACTTCAATATCAAAACTGAAATGTTCTATTCATAATGATAAAGGAAAGACGCTGAGATTCATTAACAGATGAGTAAGAAAATGTATGAACTACCTAATGAGACTGATTCCTTATTCTCAAGCTGGCCTCCAACAATTAATGGCAGATGAGTCTGGTCGACATGGCAACATTTGCGAAACACCATGACCTGAAGGAACAAACATGAAGTCATTCTATGGTTTAATTGGTGCTTGATTATTTAACTGGCAAAAGACGGAAACTACAAGAAAAGCAAGGCAGCGATTAGAAAATTGCATACCTGAATTTGGAGCTCCAGCTGGTAAATTATTGGTGGAAGTAATTGGAAAACCCATATTATTCGAGGGTGGTCTTTCAACAGGTGGTCTAAAGTAACCTGCCAAAGAATTAACATAAGTGTCATCAAAAGGTAGAGATCATGCCTCAATTTTTCAATAACAAAGGGGATAAACAAGAGTATAGAGGGACCATACATATTAACACTTTAAGGCCTGTACACAAGAAAAAGAAAGCTGTGCACATGAAATATGCATGAAGAAGTACAACTCAATAGAACACCTTGTTCGTAGGCTTAAAGCCAGCTCTTAACAGAGTTGCCCTACTGGCAAAGCCTCATCATATGTAACAACTACATCAAAAATAAGAATTTGGCCATGACAACAATTCCAAGCAGTATAAAGTGGATATTACCAGAGCGTTTTAACATCTCAATGCAAAACTTAATATACTTCAACAGGCATGCTTTTCATGTTCATATGGTTGACATGTTCTATATTTTTTGGATTTTTCTCATTTGGTTCAGTAGCATCCATAACACACAACATGCAACACTTGAAATCGATGAGTTTCATCACACCACCATAGAAGTGGATATGTTTAGTTCGCAGGGAACAACAATGTGATCAAATCAAAAACAGAACAAATTAACGACCCTAAACATTCATCTTTTAACATGCAAGCTACGCCAAAATTAGGAATACAAATTCACTCAGGTTGATTTATGAGTCAAGCCAAAACCTTGAATGAAGGACAGGATAATGCATACCTTCCTGGACAAACAATGGACCAGCAGGTGATGGATTTCTTCCCGCTATCCACCCACCACGCTGATTATCAGTGTTATATTCTCCTGCGGGCATTCTCCACTGTTCATCAGCAAGGAATGGCCTCCGGCCATCATGTTGTGATGGCAGTGGGTATTGCGGAGGATATGAATGCTGAGGATGTGGTGGCATGGCAGGCTTTGTAAATGAGAAATGGCTAGATGAGGTTTGTGGCAGACTAGGGTGTAACGGTCTTTGCACAAAGCCTGTATTACCAGGCTGAAACTGCTGGCTTGGTTGAGAAGATTGGGCATTTAAGTACATTTCATTATGTCCATATTCCAATTGCCTTGATGAATTATATCCAGAAGGCTCTCTAGAATTGCAGACTCCCGTTGGAAAGCAAGGTGATTGCTGCGGAAACAATTCACTTTTCATAGCAGCATCAATATGGCCCCCATGAGAAGTATTTCCAGCCATTTGAACTATCTGATTACCCTGCATGCAAAGCATAGGTTCAATAAAAAACCAAAAAAAAAAAAAACTCAATAACAAGCAAAGAAAACATGCAGGAGTCTTACATTTGGTGTGCCTCGGAATTCATGAGGTACAGGTGGTTGATATGCCAGCTGTGGTGAAGACTGTATTGATGACTGGGGTGGTAGCATGGGTTGAGATAGCAGTGAAGGTTGAGTTGGCACTGGTGGTGGTGGCTGAGGGATAAAGGCTGGGGGAGGGCATGAAGGTGGCACAGGGGGAGGAGGTGGTTGTGTTGGTAGAGGTGGAGGAGGTGGGGGTGGTGATGGAGATGATGGAGGTGGAGGTGGGGGTGGTGGGGGTGGTGAAGGTGGCAAAGGTGGTGGTGGAGGAGGAGAATCTGGAGGCAATGGTGGGGAACCCTCTGGTAGAGGAGGGAATTCATTGGAGCTATTTGTAACCGGTTCCATAATCCTATCACTGCTGTGCTGCAAGTCTGTTTCAAGACTATCATTTGTAAATGATGGTCTGTCATCCTTTGGGTGTCCAGAAACATCTTCCATTTCGAGCTCACCATCCACATCTTCTAAGATGCAATGACGCCTGTCACTTGGAGTAACTGTACATGTTTCTGACTCTCCTAAAGCATGAGCTTGTTCTAGTGGTGATGCATCAGCAGCTTCTCTGCAAGGACTACTTGAAAGATCTTCTTCCTCTTCATCTTCAAATGCATTAGAAGTCAAAAAGCCAGGCAACTGAAACGTAGCATTGCTGGTCACAAGAACCAACAAAATTGATGTCAGAAAGTTTGTCCCTCTCAAAACCACAAATACTAGAAACTAGAGAATGGGATACAAATGCTACAACAATCACTGGAAATAACTTCAAATATAGTAACTTAAGAAAACCATAATGTAAGATAACAAATAGTAGCTCTACATTCTATTCATATCACACAACAGTGGCAGTTGGTGAAATGGTGTATCCATAAATTGGTCTAAGCTGAGAATCAGATTAAATTGACCAATTTGGTTTGGATTGAAAAGCCAAAAGTTTAGTTTGGTCTGAAAACCACAATGATTAGTCATTGGGTCTTAGTTTGGTCTCAAACATTTCTGATAGCAAACCAAACAAAAAAAGAATTCGATAATACTTAGTAGATATTATATTTATTTATCTTTATAGTAATTTGGTTTGGATGGTTGAAACAGTTTTCAGACCTGCCATACTCATCAACAAGCATCCCTTCCATTTCTCTTATAGGATCATCTATAGCACGCTCAGCTCGCGATGGACGCCTTAGGGAAAATCCTGAAATTGTATCATCATTTGAAACTCCAATGTCGTCCATATAACGCCGTAGAATAGATTCAGGTAAAATTTTCCTCTCAAGCCACAACCGTAAAACCTGGTAAAGACAATAGATCTCTTTCTCCTTCAGAGAAAGGGAAAAAAAAGCAGAAACAGAAGAATAATTTCTTACAATTAAAACAGTAGGATACCTTGAGACACTGACGACGATTTTCACGGGCACTTGCTCCAGGTGGAGCAGCTGCACCAAGGAGACGGGGCAATGCTGTTTGAACTGTAGGGATATATGACGCACCAGCAATGCCTAAAAATAAACATTACCAACCACCATTTACATGAATTACTGCATTAATAGATCACATTTGAGTATTTTCGTGTGTGTGTACACGTGTTGAAGAACAATTAAAAGAGAGCATTCTTGTTAAAATGAACATGCACTTGATCAAAAGTCTAAAGGAGATGATGTAACCCAGCACAAATACTCTTTGTCATAACAATTAAGTAAGGAGATTAATGCTAAACCATGCACAAAAAAGATAAAGTAAACAGCTTTTTCTTAATTGCCTGCACCAAAGAAATTAAGTATTATAGAGTAATTGAACATATTTATAATCAAGATAGTGGAACGAACCTTTCTGATTATGCGAACATTGGGTGATTGAATCAACAAGAAAGAACAGGTCAACTTTACGATGAAAACTAGGCTCACTTTCCAACTTCCGAATGAGAAGTTCAACAACCTGCACACAGATTATGTATTCTAAAATTCTCTCCAAGAAGCAGTCTCCAATAGAATTTTGACATTACAAACATCATATTCAATAATTACCATTTTGTTTTATTACAGTTGCAAATAATATATAACTTTGGGGTTGAACAAGCTCATCTTGACATTGTTGAACCAACACCAAAGATAAATAAGCATATTATTTAACTTACTTCATTTGCAATGCCATACTTGGCACAATCAATAGCAAGGCGAGTTGCACGTCCAATACTTTCTTTGGTCCTTGATAAAGTCTCTATCATTCCTTCAAAAGCATCTCGTGCAACAGCTGCCTCAGTACCACCACTGAGAGACCCTCCAGCTGCCATGTGTCCTGAACTGGCTCTTCCCTCTTCGATATCTTCAGCATCCTGTTGATTTTGAGCTGACTGACGACCAAGAGTTGGAGAAACAAGATTTGTGCGATGAGCAAATCCCTGGACGTCAGCCTGCATTACATTGTTGATTGCAGATGGAAAAGGCTGAACTGCAGGACTGGGGCTTGCCCCCTGAACATCAGAGATCGACACAAAAACAGAACTGGGATTTCCAAGAGAATATTGCTGAGAGTGAGCCTGTCTCCTTTTTGCCTGAGCTGCTGCTATAAGATGTTTCATAGACATAGCAGAATCCGGAGTTTTGGAATCAATCAATGAACTGCTTCTATCTTCTCTAATGACATCCAAGCTGCATACAATGAAGATTAATATAATACCTCGAAGAAAAAGGATTAATTCAATATAATAAATATAACAACAACAAATATTTTGCAGATCCATACTCCATTGAACTTTCAGGAACAAAAGTGGTGTCATTTGCACGTGAAATTGCTTTTGGCGTAGATTTCAGCCTTTCTACAGAAGAAGCTTGCCTATTTCTTTGACTCAAAGCCTGATTTTGAGAAGACTTTGAACCATCAGTAACTACACCCAATCCCTTAACAGAGCCAGACAGAGCCTTTTTCTGGGTTCCATTGCTGGAAACCTTAACAGTAGCTTTAATAGTTCTCTGCTGTTCAACAACCGATTTGGTGGCAGAAACCAGATGAGGAGACTTCCTTGGGGAAATCAAAACAGGTTTAGCCTCCTTGGAAGACAGCTGCTCTGGTTCGGATCTTTCAACAGTTTGTGGTCGAACAGGTGACACAAAATCATTTGCCAGTTGTGGAGAAACCTCCTTGGGACCACTATTCTCAAATCGGGTGGAATCTCCAACACTACGTTGAGCAGTGAGAGCACTCACATGATTTTCATCAATGCTCTTTGAAGTATCAGAAACAACTGAAGTTACCTTAACATTCCTGGCAGATCCTCCATGAACTGGAGTTTTGGGATCTTCTTCTTCATCATCATCAAAAAGGCAAACAGCTCTCCGCCTTTTGGACAATTGGGTAGCTGGAACTCTCATATTATTAGAACTTGAAGTTTCATTCTTTAATTCAACAGGATTTTTCCCAATTCTATCAGTAGAATTAATAGAGGCAGAATCAGACATAGCCTCCAGAGCCCGCCGACGGCGTTTTGATAAAGGCAGCACAGCTTCATCACCAGAAACATCAGAACTAATGGCCGTTGGGGCTCTCAATGCTAAAACATGAGATGCGGATTTTTTTAACTCTGATTGTTTAGCAGCTTTATCGTTGACATTGTTAGAACTTGGAGAATTACTTTTCACATTTTTGGCAAGTGATCCCTTGGAAGCATCATTTTTCATATCTACAAACTTTGACTTTTTGGCAGGATGTAAAATTTCATCTGTTCCCAGTTTAGACTTTCCAATTCCAGGTTCACCCCTTTTCTTTTTTCCAGTAGTCTCACCTTTGGAATTGGTGACAGCATCCTGTACATCACCAGTGGCCTTGAAATTGCTTTTGGTTTTCAGCAATTCCTTTGCTTTTTTACCACCAGTATAATTAGAATCTAATTTGAGAGCATCTGGTGAGAATTTTCTTATACTGCTGCCAGAGACTTTGCCTTTTAATCTATCTTTCTGTTGCTCCTCGGAATCATGCCGATCAAGAGAACCACCAGATTTATCATCCTTAAAAAATGTTGCAGCAGAGCCGCTGCTTTTGTGTCCTTCAACAAAAACCTCAGTTCTTTTCTTAAGCCCAGAAGCCATCTTCTTTGACTTCTGATCTTCCCTCACTGTTTTCTTAGTACAATTGGCAGTTGCAATTTTATCACCAGAAAATTCCTCCTTTATATGAGAAGGCTCATCTAAAGATGATGGAAATAACACCTCTGTTTTAGGTTGTTCACCATTTGATATTTTATGTTTCACTTCAGAAGACATGATCAGAGAAGAGCAATCATCCGCATGACCCGAAATTGAGGGCTTTATATCTTCACTATTAATTTCACCTCTGCATGAACAGTGGCCCAAATTAGATGCAAGATCACCTTTTCCCTCGCTAGTGGTTTCTCTGCCAGGTGCAGCTGCACCTGTTCCATTCTTTAAGTCAACCTCTGCCCCATCATCCTCAGTCCCATCAACAGATGAAGCCTCACAGCCCGGTGTTGATCTATCAGTTTCATCTCTCAAACCACTGGACTTCTCTTCGTGTAATTCATCAAACGCCACACAAATTTCCTTCACAGCTTGGACAAAGTGCTTAGTTCTAACCTGACACTTCGCAGACAGTTTACTCTTCGTCTCACTAGTAAATGCCTGAATATCACCAGGAGCAACAAAAGCTCTGTAAAAGAAGAAAAACATATAGGGAAAGTAAGAAACTAGAACACAAGTGAACTAGAGTTCAAAGAGTAGTGTAAGAGAAAATAATGACACATGCATGCATCTCTTGGCTAGGAATGAACAACAATGCTCCTTTTTACACTCCAAATGCAGTCACAAACTTCAATAATGTAATATGAAAATCCCAAATATATAAACTAGTGACGCATGCTTTTAAGGAAAACAAATATGAAAATTTCAAATTTATCAACTATCTCACATGTGAAATGAACATGATGCTGAAGGAATATGAGAAAAGACACCTGAAACTATTAAAAAGAGACAGAAAGAACAAATTCTGATCTTCAACAGATTTAAAGATATCTTCTAAATAGTTGAGGAGAAGAACATCATCATCCAAACATTATGATCCGATAAAAGAATAAAATTTTCCATTTGAGGTTTAAGGGTTAAGCCTTACAGCTTAAGGGTGACTATAAATATGCAAATATGGATGCACCAAACATTCAAGGATTTAGAAGAAAAAAACCAATAGAAGTTCTGAACAGATGATCATGTCCACAATACCCATATTTCCAGAACCACTTCCAGGTTTCCCCATAACTAAACCACCTTTGCAAATGTTTCCAATGACAACTCCAGCTGTACTTGTCTTTAGGGCATTTAAAATACCATTACTCAAAAGGCTTCCGAGCATATCATGTGTAAACCACCACACAATGACAATTAACAAACTTCAGCTAAACTCTCGAACTGCTAAACTATAACATATAGACTATGACCAGAATCAGAGTCGCACCCCTAATTCATTGTTGGAATTAGAGAAGCATACTCTCTAAAAGGAATTAGGGAAGCTATACTCGACAAAACTTAAGTAATATATTCAACACAGACCTTAACATGATAGAAAAACTGAAAACCTTATGTCCAAACAGTTTCAAAATATATACAAGATTGGTTTGAATTATTTCTTTTCAAGCTACTTGCAGCTGCAAAAACTGTCCATTCAACATTCAAGAAGAAAAGCAGACAAAGAATGCTATAAGCCAAACATAAAAACTCCAACATATATAAAATCAAGATCCTTTATTGCACCCAAATTGTGTCAAAGCCATGTATTATGAATAAATCCTCCATCAAGGTTGGTCATTATCAACAATAAATTAAAACAATAATTCTATAATTGTAAGTTAATGTAAATGTGAGAATAAGTATAAAAAAAAATCTGAATCACAAACCCATTTAACACCAACAATAAAAAACAATTGGATAAATTGCAGTGCCATTCATTCAAAAAAAGCTACACCGACATTCACTACCAAACAGTAAAAATTTATTGCTAAAGAAATGATGATGTCTACTGATTAAGCTAAACATCATTGCTTTCTTGAAAAATTTGACTTCAACATTCACTATATCCCACAGATACATCTACATTAAAAGCCTAAGAATTGTTAAAATAGAGTTTTTAAAAAATATTAATAACAAATGAAATTATTGGAAAACAGATGTTTTGTTCTGTTAAATAATTTTAGTTATCAGACCTATCACCCTCTGCAAGCAGAAATTCAATTTGAAGCTTAGCTGTCACAAGTTCATTAAGCTAAAATCTAATTTTGAAATCCATGCTTTGCCTACTTCAGCTTTCTCAAATAGAGAAGATATTTCAGAAGTTAACCCAAACAGGAGTAAAGCATCATATTTTCCCATATAAGTTGACATCAACAAGAAAAAAAATGCTTAAATTATAAATGGTTATTGGTTGCAAAATGGTCAGAGGACGAAGCCATTAAACAGACTTTAAAACTTTTAATTGCCATTAACAACTATCAAATTTAACAACTACATAATATGTTAACTCCTTTGTAACAGAGAGATTAGGAAACAACTTGAAACACCAATTCTAATTAACCCACATATGCTATACCAAAATTCCTAAGCACAACACAAGTCCAAGAAAGCCTCATTAACTACCATCAGCTACTTAGATTAAAACCCAACACAAAAATGGAGGAAAGATATCTTCCATTGCTCCCAAAGAACAAATTAAGTTAAGAGATTACGTTAAAAAAGATTAATTAAGACAAAATGAGATGCACGTGCAATATCATGAACCTGTACAAGTAGAAAAATATTGCACAGTTTATCATTGTATCAATGCTTGATTTTCCGATTCCTAGGATGAAAAGCTTGCTTACCTGAAGGACATCTCACTATTTCTCAGATTATCATATGAAGAAACCATAACACGTAAAATTCCCAGAAAATTTGCATGACTTATCACATCCACCAAATAGTATTCCCTGAACATTAGACTAGTGAACTCAATGAGTTTAACTTAAGCAATCTAACACTAAATGACTGAGCTGCCTACAGTTCAGTACTGCAACACATAGAGGACTCAGCATGCAGCCCTCCATATTACATTGTTTGCCCTGTAGTTCTTACAATGTGCATCCCACAACCTCTTGAACACAGGAGCTCAATGAAAAGAAAACAACTATGCATAAAGACAGCACAGAAGGTAGAATAAATAATGTTAGTTTCAATGCATCGACTAGTCAGCAAAAACCTCAACACTGACTGGGAAAAAAAAGACTTAAATTAGCAATGTGAAGACTACATCAAGGTTCATTTGCTTGGACCGGCATATGTGACACATTATTTGGAATGCAACAAAATTAATTTTGCTTTCAAGGAAATAACACGGTAGCATCTTTCATATATTTTTTCAAGTTCCATCTTATGGAAAAATGTGTTTCCCTTCTTACTAGAAAACACATGTGAAACCTAAAACAGACACATCACCTATTTTTGTTCATCATATTGTCATCTCCCATATTCACCAACCATGAACAAATTGAATGTGAAATACTTACATTTCTTGTGTTCCAAAGAATTGGACAAAATATTTCTTAGGGTCAGGTTCTCGCTCCCAATCTTCAGGCCGGCTAATCTGAAATTCATAACCCACAGAATCTACCTCAAAAACAACGTAAACCAAAATCACAAATAATCAACTGGTTCCGAGAAACAAAAAAATAAAAACAACAAATAAACCGAAATCCCTCACTAAATTTCCCAAACACTTGCTAGGATCAAATCAATCTAGCATTCAACAAAAAAACACATATTTCTCCTATTTATTCAGTCCCAAAGTAAAGAACTTGCACAGTTGCATTAACTCAATTCAGAAATCAAAGCAAATTACCAAACTGATAACACTAAAACACAACCAGCTAACATAAGCATACGAGAACCCTGAATTCCAACATTGAGATTTCACAACTTCAAACAAAAATTACTAAAAGAAACAAATTAAGTATAAAACCAACAAATATACTACAAAATACGACAATGTAAGCATAAAATAAACTTAACAACATCATGCAAAACTTTAAGAAAAAAATCCAAATCTCATCATGGATTTGCTCAAATTTCATAAGTTCAGATATAAGAAATTAAAAATATAACAATCAAAGTATAAAAAAAGTCCCAGAATTGAGGATAAAAAAGTAATAATAATAATAAAAAAAAAAATAGAAGGGTGAAGAAAAAGGAAGAGACCTTGGCAGGCCAAGGAGGGAATCCCTTGACTTTGGCAAGAACAAGATCGCCCAGACTTAAATTCTTAACCTTTGCTTTATTCCCTCCCCTTCTACGACTCCCGGCCATCAAGACTAAAACCCTAACAGATCGTTCGACGCCGTCGTTTTCGTCGTCGTTGTTATTCCTTTTTATAGCGTAATTAAATCCAAATTCAAAGATAATTCCAGAATCCCATCCAAAGTAAAACAAACCCTAAAGAGAGATTAGGAAGTTTGGTGCCAGAGATATCGCCGGCGGCGGCGACGCGCCCTGGGGAGTTCCGGCGACGGAAGGTGGCTAGAGCATCGAGAGAGATGGAGAAAATAAGAGAGTGAAAAAGAGCCTTTTGTTATTTTGTTGGAAGTGGAGATAATCGAGACGGTGGTAGAGAGAAGAGGCGCGAGAGAGAGACAGAAGAGATGGTTTTGGGGGTAACAATTTTTGTTGGGGGTGGGGATTTGCCTATTTGGTGCGCGTGACTGAGCCGTGGGAAAGGCTGGGGGAACTTTTGCGTTTTGGTGTTGTCGGCGTTTCCTTGTTGAATCTGTTCCTTTTTTCCTGATTTTCTTGCAATTCTCTGCTCCTTAGTTTTTTATTTCTCTCCATTAAAATAAAAAATAAATATAAAATTTAATAAAATAAGCTTAAATTACGTTCTTTCTCAAAAAAACAAAAATTAATAAATTTGTGTATTTTCAACATTTTTAATGGATCCATTAAGTTTTTTTTTTTGAACTTATAAAAGAAGTAATCCTCTCTGATTAGATGAATTACTTGATATTGATAAATTGCCAAATAAAATATATCTCTTTTATTAATTTTGTCAATTATTAATTCATAATTGTTAATCATAATCTTAACTTCTTAGTGATTTTTGTATTTACTCAAAATTATATTAATTTAACTTTTTATTTTTGACATGAAAGGTTGTGGACATGCTTTATATTCAATATAAATCATTATTACTCTTGATTTCATAATTTAATTTTATCAATAGATCATTCAATAAAAAAAATCATAATTTTCTATCTTCAAAAACAAAGATTTATTAAATGGAAGCGATGCATAATTTCATTAACCATCTTAGTAGAAAAAGCAAATAGATATAACGTTCCCATGATATTTTTAGCATATAGCATATTGAATAAGTAACAATTATATCCTTAAGCATAAGTATAGGTGGTGTTTGGTACTTTACAATGCAATGTAATTACAAATAATATGATTACAAGTAACGTGATTACAGGGAAAATAACATCACAGTGCAAAATAACGATTAAAATGCAGGGAAGATAACATTGCAGTGTTTGCTTTACAAGTACTTTGCTGGAAATGTAATGTTAATTTTTAAAATTACCTTTAATTATTAAAATACAAGTTTAATATATTTATATTTTTTATTATTAATTTTTATATAATATCATCTCTTAAATGTATTTTTAATGTCATATATTTTATTTTTATTTATTATTATAATCTTTTATATTTTATATTTTATTATTAATTTTTATATATTATCATATCTTCAATATATTTTTAATATCATATATTTTATTTTCATTTATTATTATAATCTTATATATTTATTTTCATTTCTTTAATATAGTTTTTATATTATATATTTTATTTTATTTTGTTTTACCTATATTATATATAATTTTAATTTTTTATATTTTATTTTATTTTATTTTTTGATTATTATATTATATATATATTTTAATATTTTTTTATTTTAATTATAATATTATAAAATATTTTTAATAAAGTAATAAAATTGAAGGGTAAAATTATCTTTAAGAATATTCCAGAGTGCAATGTAATGTGATTGTATTACATCTCTTGGACTGTAATATGATTGCATTGTAATCTTACATTATAGTACTCTATTACAAAACAAACATTATAATTTAATTTAATTACAGCTCTCACTTCCTTAATACTAAATGTTACGTTAGATGTGGTTGTAAATATTGAAAGATGAAATTCTTGATGGATTTAATTTGAATTTTTTTATATAATTTTAAATTTTAATTAAATATTTATAAGTTTTAATATTTTATAAAATAATAAAATAAATTAAGATACTTAAAAATAATTAATTATTTATATAAGTTTATTCTTAGATCGTATTATATTTTGTAAATCACAACTGAAAAATTAAAGGTATTTTTTTATAAAAAAAAGGTATTATTTTTTTTTGAAAAATGTAAATTTTATTTTAACGAAAAATACAAACGATTTAAAAATACAAAAATAATCAGATAAAGTTTTATTTCAAAGAAATAAAAAGAAAATAATAAAATCTTAAAAATAAAAAGGAAAGGAAGCCCAAAACTGTTTTGGGCTTTCTAAGCCCAAGTTAGTACAAAGACTATAATACAAAATTTGTGAAAAAAAAAAGAGGCAAAGGGTGCATCCTCAATTCCTCACGTCATGCTCGAACAACAAAGACATGCTAATGCCCACCGTGTCCATACGTATCACTTTTAAACTTCACAACATAACTTAATTAATTAATATGTATTTATTTAAGCAATTAGATCAATTTTATGATTTCTTCATTTATAGTTTAATAAATATTTGTAAATTACTTGAACGTATTTGTTAAGTTAAAGAACTTTTTTATGGAAAAATTTCCACATAGTTATATAACGTCAACTATTTATAAAAAGGTGGTTTACCTAAGATTTCCATCCATCTTACATGTTTGTCACATAATTCATTGCTTAAATAAAATTATAATAATAAAAATAAAATAAACACTCAAAAGTCTAAAAAACTGTTGGTTCGAATAATTTGAAAATAAAATATGAAATTTTTACTTTTAATATTTATTTTTATATTATTTATACCCCATATTATTATTTCTTTTTTTTAAACTTTTCAATTTCAAATTTTTTCCTGGTACATTTCAAGCTATATAATATAATTTTACCATTTGATTAGTTAAGGAGGAAACTGTGCATATATATATATATATATACACATATATAACTTAATAAAAGAATAAATATCGCTAAGATTAAAGAGACTTTATCTCTAAGCGAGTAGCTAATGAGCTTTGTCTTTTTAATGTGATAAGTATGGAATGTTTTCTTGTAATAGTTCAGAACAATTCAAATTAGAAATCTATTCTTTAAAAGAAAAAGTACCCTAAAATTAATAATTAAAAAAAACTTAAGTATCACGTAAAATTGGTAATGGAGGACTTTTTACAGAAAAACCTTAACCCATCACTCCTAAATGATAGATCTAGGAAGAAAGTTAGGCTAAGATAAGAGATTACTAATTCACAACCACTTATGAGTCGATGGTTGTGTATGATAACCCCTCATTCTAAGAGAGTTAATATAGTCAAGGAACGATGGCTTGTTAGTGGATGGAGATCTATTTTCAGATGATGAGATGGAACATGATAATGAGTCAAATGAACGTAGCAAAACAAAGAATACTGAAGATATGGAGGAACATATTGATGATTTCAAGATTGAAATGGAAACGAGGTCCCTTCTCTCAAAACATTGAATAGGAAGCAAGAGGAACTAGTCAAGTGATGGCAAAGGTTAGTTGTAGTTAGGATTTTGGGTCATTCAATCTCATATCAATTATTATGCGAAAAAATCGTGGCTTTATGGGCACTTTAAGATAGGTACTCAATTGTGGATCTTGACGACAAATCCTCTTTAGTGAAATTTACAGATGAAAGGGATTACTTACAAGCCCTCATAGGTGGACCTTGGAATGTTGAGGGGCATTACTTGATAGTTAGACAATGGACTCCAAACTATACTTGTTATCTTACTAATCTTTTTGTTGTTGCGACATGGGTGAGGTTTCTTAAGATGCTATTTCATCTATACCATAAATAGGTGTTAAGGTAGATTGGCTCGGTGTTAGGTCATTTATTGAAAATAAACTATAACACAGGATAAGAGATATAAGGCAAATTCACTAAGATTGTTATGGAGATTCATCTGACAAAACTTTTGATACCACAATTTTACATCAATGGTAGAATACAAACGGTGGAATACGAAGGACCTCCTATGGTTTATTTTTCTTGTGGAGTTTATGGGCATATACAAGAAGAATGTTAAAAGCATGATGAAAACTAGAAGGTAAACACTCAAGAGGAGTAACAATGCAATGTTTTACATTAGGAAAACTCCTTATTTGGTCCTTAGATGCTCATCAATTCGAGGAAAACTAGAGGGGTAAAGCGTTGAGAACTTACTGCCATGACGAACAAGGCTAATAACAAAACTAGATATGGCTCACATTCTTTAGTTTTGGAAAAAGATCTTGGTACAAACAATGGTATGAAAAATGATACGAACAACAGGAAGGCAGAGTCTTTTATATAGGTCATTGCTAACGAGAAGAAAACAAATCTTAATCCCATGCTCTAGGGAGTCGTTGGTAAGCCAGGTAACCACACAAGCAGCAAAGTAGTGTGCAAGGTTTATAACAGTCAGGAAATGAAAACTGAGAACAAAAGTACCACGACCACGATGGACTTGGAAAATAATGGTGTTGAAATGTCAAGGAAAATGGAATTGGGTGTGATTTTAGAAGATATTTCATTATTAAGAATGAAAGAGGTGGGAGCCATGAAAGAGGAAGGGCTGAACATAGTCCTAATGAAAGAATCGCAACATGAGGAGATAGTGGTTCAAGATAGAACACTAGATCCATCCAAACATTCAACCGTTATTGTAGCTAATAAGTTAGTATCCATAAAAATGTCTTCCATACGGAGAGGTGGCAATATTGCGACAGTTGAGAAATCAGGTGGGATCATCATTAAGAAGATGGACAATGACACTCAAGATAGAAGAGATCTTGTTCATCTCTGAAAAGCTTCCCTTAAAAGGATGGTAAGAGCAAAGAATGCGGCTGCATCCTAGCACTCAAATGTGTTATCACAAATGGCACATTTGTAAAACTATTTTAAAGTAAAAATATCTAAGATAATTACAATTATAATTGTAAAAACTAGAAGACAATTATAATTGTTCATGACCATTATAATTGAAAATGGTCAGCCCAAAATTATAGGTTTAAAATACTTTAAAGTAAAAATATCTAAGATAATTATAATTGTCCATGACCATTTTTCATATTTTGAAAATGGTACATGATAACATTAGTAGAAATACTATCAAATATATCTTTTTCAATGTATGTCACCAAGCAATTATTTATCCAAAATTATTACTAATTAGTATAAACTAAGATATTAAAATTAAATAAAGGGTAAAACAACTAGATGCTTTTAAATTGTAATCAAAATTATACAGAGATCCATTAGTCTTCAAAGTGAACACTTTGTTCCAAAAAATATTTTCAATGATGTGGTAATATTTTTATGACAATTTTACTCTTTATTAATTTAAATATTATCATTAAATAAATTATACTTTTTATTTTTTCCAAAAAAGAAAAATTTAGCCACTCCTAATAGACAATCAGGCTTTTTAGGGAGCAATAGATCCGATGCTCCCTCAAGGAGCTCCAGTGCTCCTTTGGAAGCTTCGAT